GCTGGGACGCACGAGAGCACAGCGCCACAGTTGCGTGTCGACGGAGTCATGGCTCCCACCATAGCTGAGGACGTGACGTGTGTCGCCGGCTGGGACGCACGAGAACACAGCGCCACAGTTGCGTGTCGACGGAGTCATGGCTCCCACCACAGCTCAGGACGTGACGTGTGGTGCCGGCGGGACGCACGAGAACACAGCGCCACAGTTGCGCTGACGGAGCCGGACGTCCCACCACAGCTCAGGACGTGACGTGTGTGGTGCCGGCTGGGACGCACGAGAACACAGCGCCACAGTTGCGTGTCGACGGAGTCATGGCTCCCACCATAGCTCAGGACGTGACGTGCGTCGCCGGTTGGGACGCAAGGGAGTACAGTGCCACAGCGTGCCGACGGAGTCATGGCTCCCACCACAGCTCAGGACGTGACGTGTGATGCCGGCTGGGACGCACGAGAACACAGCGCCACAGTTGCGTGTCGACGGAGTCATGGCTCCCACCATAGCTGAGGACGTGACGTGCGTCGCCGGTTGGGACGCAAGGGAGTACAGTGCCACAGATGCGTGCCGACGGAGCCATACGTCCCACCCTAGCTGAGGACGTGACGTGTGTCGCCGGTTGGGACGCAAGGAAGTACAGTGCCACAGATGCGTGCCGACGGAGCCATACGTCCCACCATAGCCCAGGACGTGTCGTGCGTAAACCTCCGGCGACGCCGGCCGCTCTTCAGCAGCAGCGGGCATGACTCTATTGCTGCGGGCAATACAAACTGCATGACTGCACGGCCGGCAAATGACCCGGTCGTAAAGGTCATCCTGGCCGGACTCGCCGGCGGTGATTAGGAGCAGGCCGCTTTATCGCCGCCCAAAGTGCCGCCAGCCCATTCAGGCGGTCAAGGGGCGCCGCTACGCTGAAGAGGGTCTCGGCTGGCGCGCCGGTGAATGCGGTTTGAGACGAGGCCGTCCTCATGCGGGGAGGGAAGGGGGGTAGAGGGAGGAGCTGAGCTTGCGGCGCTCCAATCTTACCGCGCCGCCGCTCCTGCGGCCGACCGCCTCATATGTGCGTCAGCCCTGATGGACGGCAGCGAGACGGGCCTGATCCGGCGCCGAGTCCACGCGAGCCGGCGCGCTGCGCGCCACGTGACGAGATGGTATCTCCGTGTCTGGCCCCGGCGCCGCGTCCCGGCGGCCCGTGTCCTCGCGCCGCCGGCACGCGCCGGGCGCGGGGACGCCACCTTAACCGTGTAGGGCGCAGCGACACCACCGCGACCTGACGCCCCATTAACGTTTGCTGTAGTCGGTGGCGGAAGCGACCTGCCGCCGCCGCCGGCCGGCAAGTGTTCCCAGAAGGCGCCGTTGTGCCCGTGCCTTGTCAACCGCCGCCCCGCCCCCCGCCGCCGGCCGGGTGACCCGGCCGTGCGACGCGCCCGCTCGTCGCTGCGTCGCGTCGCCGCCGGTAGCGCCGCGCGCCGCGGCCGTCCGCATCGAGCGGTCAGCGCCGACGGCAGCGACGAAGCCCGTCAGTCGACGCGGCGCTGATCACCTGCAGCCTAATTGCCAGCGGACAAGTTTACCGGCGACATGATGTATCGATCGCCGCGGCTCCCCCCGCACGTGTGCGCGGGCCCCGGCGCGCGCGCCACGTGCGAAGCCCCGCGCGGCCCGCCGCCGGCCGGGGAGGGGCGGCCATACCTGCCGCATACCTGGCGGCTGGCGCCCTCCCGGCCCGGTATTGTTACGGGGCCCGGTTCCGGTAGCGGCGAATGGCATGACGTGCTGGCGGGCAGCGGCGGCGCGGCGTCGTTTTTGCCGCCGAGCACAGATACGTGAAACACGCCGGGCCCGGCGCGGCGCGCCGGCAGCGGGCGGTGCGTCGCCACGCGGCGGGCCGCGGCTTATCGGCGTGGTTTACGAACCTCGGCCGGCGGATTGGCCGCGGATCGGCTGTATCGATACGCGTCTCCGCCCCTGACGGTGCGGCGCGGCCTCGCCGGTGTAACGCTGGCAGGCGGCGGCGTCACGAGACGTCACGGTGGCGTCACGCTAGCGTCACGAGCGTCACGGCACGGCTGGCGCCGCGCCGCCGCCGCGCGGGCCGACTCAGAACCACCGTTACCGGGGCCAACAGCGCACCCGTCGCTGGAAAGGTCAGCGGTGCGCTGCGGACCGCGGCCCCTCGCCGAGCAGCGCGGGGGGGGGGGGCGGGGCTCAGCAGAGCTGACGGGCGCGAGCCAGCCCCAGACACCTCCCGTACCACCTATGTTACCTTGACACGCCCCAGCACCATGCTCTTGAATTGCTAAAGGAATTGACCGATATGTTGTGTTATTAAGTGGTGATATTTCTTTCATTTTTAGGTTGCTATGCTTTTGAATTTATTAACGGCCTTGTTCTGGTCAAGAACAAAGTTTTTTCAATCCCAACAAACCCGCCGTTTAAACATCTGAAACAGTACCACTTTTGCGTTTCCACTTTGGCCATGATATCATGGACTACGGTTCTGCTATAATGGAAGCATTTTGAGGTGTTCCTTGCCCCCCCCCCCCCCCCATTGAACCTGTGGGAGTGCCAAAATGTTGTAGGATCACTAGTGCGCAAAAGAAAGATGCAAAGTAAAATTAAGGTGGCAGACGAATTATGGAATTATGTCGCAACTTCACACGTATTTAACTGGAAACGATTTTCTAGCACGGCCGATCCCTTTTTCTAAAGTGTCGTAGTCTCGCGGTCTTGGCGTTTTGCGGCGTTGGTGACGGCTCTGTCCGGTCCTCTGACTTCCCATATCGGTTCTAACCGGTTCTACCAGGTCGGTTCCAGCCGTCCCGCGCCACGCACAGTCGTTGACAGAGCAGGCCGCCTCATGAGAGCCGCCGCTCACCAGCAGGCGAGGTAATCTGAACCTGAGAGGCACGGCTGGGGCCAGACCCGCCGATGTTAGCCGGTCATTTAGCCCCAGACTCGCCGATCTTAGTCGGTCATTTAGCCCAGCTCCCGGCGGCGGCCATATAGGAATGTATTGACCTGCACCCGTGCGGCCTCTCGACTGCAGCCTGGACAGATGAGCCGGTCAAGTCCCGCGGCCCCTGCCGGCGGCCAGTCACACCGGCCCCGCTTCAGAGCGGGCGCGGTGCGTGGCCTCGCGGCCGTTCCAGCTGCCGCCAGCCCCGGCTCCTCTCCCTCACGGCCCCCGCCGGCGGCCAGTCACACCGGCCCGGCTTCAGAGCGGGCACGGTGCGTGTCCTCGCGGCCGTTCCGGCGCCGCCAGCCCCGGCTCCTCTCCCATGCAGCGCGATGATTTGCGGTGAACTTCACCGCCCATGACCGGATGTGGCCACCGACTGCACGTGCAACACCGAGGGGGGCCACCGCCAGGTGTTGTGTGCGCCGGATACTCGGCGGGGGTGCGGCCAGGGAACCGGGCTGCGATGTCGTTTATTTGCAGCAGCCAGGCGTGAGCGACGCCCGAAACGCTGGTGCTAGGTGTTCTTTGTTGAATGATAGAGCTTGGGTCGTGTCCGAGGCAGGTGCGACAGCACATCCCAGCCACCACACGCGTCGTTTCTGACACCGGGGAGAAGGGGGGGGGGGGAGGGGTCGCTCCGTGGTTGTGAGCGCGCACAGCAGCCGGATCCGCCTGGCTTGTGCGGGTCTGTCCCGTCTGGTCCTGATCTATTCTGGCCTGGGTGGGTCTGTCCCGTCTGGTCCTGGTCTATCCTGGCCTGGGCGGGTCTGTCCCGTCTGGTCCTGGTCTATCCTGGCCTGGGCGGGTCTGTCCCGTCTGGTCCTGATCTATCCTGGCCTGTGCGGGTCTCTGGCGATGTGGTACCTGCTCCACGACCAGCAGTGCTACAGGTGCGCCGCACACCCCTGTCGCTGCGCCGCTGTCCTTACCTGCCGTGTCGAGCTGCGTGGCCCGATGTGCTGGTGCTATGCTCTTCGTTGCGACCGTTTTTCATGCAGCTCCTACATCTGTGATTATTTGTCCTTCCGTGGCGTAGTTAAAGCACGTGCCTCCCACCCTACCCGTGGCGGAAATATGCATTCTAGTCGTGGCTTGATTATTTGGTTATTTGGATGGGAGCTCTTTCGGCCAGTGATGACCATATCAGGGCTATAGGATGATGGGTAATGGAAACGATGGGGCACATCTACATCTACCTGGAAGACCCAACTGCCGGGACTAAGCCTGCACGGGGAGCCCTCTACGGGGGTATGTGCTTGGCGTCCGGACGGGGGCCCCCATCAGGGGGCTCTCAGCCCACTCCTGGCTGGCGCCTGCAGGCTGTCCTGGGCAAACGGGGCATCACGAGGCTGCAGGATGAAGCGGGAAAGAGAATGGGAGGGGCGAATGCATTCGAGTGGTTTCGGTGCTCTCTATTTGTCTGCGACTGGGATGGCCTGCGGCCGGTAATAGCGGCCGCTCAAGGTCAGATGAGGTCAGAGGGCGCGGTGGACCGTGCCGAGCATTGCGGCACGTTACACTTTTACCACGAAGTTCTGCCGCTGGACTGGCATTTCCCGATCGGATAGTGTTGTCGGGTCTACACAACAAGCACTGCCTAGCGTGAAGTTTTCCTGTTTCATAAATTCGCTGACTCTCCACAGCTGACAATTTTTTCGATTGATTTATTTATGCACGTGATTAGGTTTATAAGGTCATGCATGAAACAAGCGCCGGGCTTATTCGACGTATGTTCTTGAACGGAACAGCATCGAAATACAAATTTGACTCATATTGGTGATGTTATAGATTCTAAGGTATTTTTCATTGATTTGTTTCGCTTATCATACCTTATCGTATCGAGGACTGCTTTCACAAGCATCGACGTCCCCTTTTCGTTGGCTAATGACAGTCAAACCCCAGTGACGTAAAAATCAGCTTGAAATGACTCACCTTGCTATTGATTTTACGAATATGGCTGTTTTCAAAGGTCTCTCGCGCCGTCGCCTCACCGCGCGGCGCGGCCATCCGCGGCGGCGTCTCTAATTCCCGTTTCCACCCCCAGGTGGCAGCACAAGGTGCGACAAACGTGCTTTACAGCCTGGACAACCCACGGCTCTTCCGCATCGACAGCGACGGCAACATCTACAACAACGCCAACGGACGGCGGCTGGTGGCTGGCGGCGGGCTCAACTTCACCGTGTTCGCCGTCAATCCGGGTGGGTGGCGCGGCGTGCGTGTCCCAGCTCACGCCAACCTGGCCCGGCGCGGATCGGTGATCGGAAATGGAGCCGCCGGCTCGCGTGCCGCCTCACCAGGCGTCAGCAATCGTCCGCAGACTATAACGTGACGTGCGCGCGAGGGGAGGCGGCCTGATGGACGTGGGCTGCGGCGCGGTCTGTGGGCATGTGTATCTGTCTGCCGGGCGGTCGCTCCCAGTGTGTATCTGTCTGCCGGACAGTCGTTCCCGGAATGTGTGTCCGTCTGCCGGACGGTCGCTCCCGGAGTGTGTGTCCGTCTGCCGATCGGTCACCGTCTGCCGATCGGTCGCTCCCCGGAGCGTGTGTCCGTCTGCCGATCGGTCGCTCCCCGGAGCGTGTGTCCGTCTGCCGATCGGTCGCTCCCGGAGTGTGTCCGTCTGCCGGACGGTCGCTCCCCGGAGCATGTGTCCGTCTGCCGGATGGCCGCTCCCCGGAGCGTGTGTCCGTCTATCGAACGGTCGCTCCCCGGAGTGTGTCCGTCTGCCGGACGGTCGCTCCCCGGAGTGCGTCTGTTGTCTGTAGCTGCATTCCTATCCCCGCATGTGATCTGTGTGTTTATTTGTAAATAAGCCTCTCTTTTTATCGTCTTTCCACTGTCATCATCTCCTTCTCAATTTCTCACTTTGTTCGCAACTAACTGGTGGTATCTGTTGCAAGGTCGGCATGTTTTGTCCAGGGGCTGTTTGAAGTACGTTTTAAGGGACGGCCAAAACAGACTGCCTACCTAGTAGAACCCGAAAGCTCAGCATGAGTTTGCCTGCATCGTGCTCTTGAGTTTTGTCCAGTTAATGGTTTAAAGTACCTTCATAACAAAACATTGTAAGTTTACTTTGGCTGCCCCGCGACACATAAAAGAACAAAGATGACGTTGCGGTATTCTGATGATGTAGAACACACCGTCAGCGAAGTTTACCAAGATATCGCACGTTCGAGAGAAAGGCAAATATTTCATATGTGATGTATGGTTATAATGATAACTGGATTCTTAGTATGGTATAACTCGGAGGTGTATCAAAACATGGCAGCAGCACCTATGCTTGAGATGCATTTAACCCAGGGTGAGATTTTTCTTAACTATTGGTACCCATCATGCATGCCTAATGTACAGGTGCTATGTTAGTTTCATTTTATCATCATTTTCATACCTTCCTGATTCGTCGCAATTTGGGTAAAATTTACTACGAAGATCTGTGCATGTGCAATCTTTTAAAGTCTGTTCATAAGAATATCGTGTTTGGGTTTGTTCTGGCTGGCTTTACCTGTTTCAGCTAGTTAGAACCAGCTAAGACAAGATTACTGGCTAAAACTAGCTTCAGCCGGTTTTTGCCAAGACTCCACTATTCTGCGTGCCGTCTTTCGCCGCCTCGTGGCAAGACATGGCGACGCATATCAGATCTAAGCCGACCGTTGCTGTCATCAAACATGTTTTTATCTACACTCAGGCAGTCGCAGTTTGGGGTTGTATCGACCAGGTTCTGTTTGCCCGCCCTCCTAGCCGGTGCGTAAGCCTGCTGTTGCCCAATCTGTTAATCATAGCTGGCGGCACAAAGACTCAGCCACATGACGTTACGGCGTCTGTCCGACACTCATGCCACGTTCAGCCATATGACGCTACGGTGTCTGTCCGACACTCATGCCATGTTCAGCCACATGACGCTACGGTGTCTGTCCGACACTCATGCCATGTTCAGCCACATGACGCTACGGCGTCTGTCCGACACTCATGCCATGTTCAGCCACATGACGTTACGGCGTCTGTCCGACACTCATACCATGTTCAGCCACATTACGTTACAGTGTCTGTCCGACACTCATGCCATGTTCAGCCACATGACGTTACGGCGCCTGTCCGACACTCATACCATGTTTAGGCACATGTCGTTACGGTGTCTGTCCGACACTCATGCCATGTTCAGCCACATTGCGTTAGCTCATGCCATGTTCAGTCATATGACGTTACCGCGTCTGTCCGACACTCATGCCATGTTCAGCCACATGACGCTACGGCGCCTGTCCGACACTCATACCATGTTTAGGCACATGTCGTTACAGTGTGTGTTCGACACTCATGCCCTATTTAGCCACATCACTTTACGGCGTCTATCCAACATTCATGCGATGTTTAGCTGTATGGCTTTATGGCGTCCGCCCAGTGCTCGTGCCTTATGTCACATTTATAGTCCTTTTTTGACTCGACATTGGCTCCGACGCGTTCACACAACGTGCTGTTGATATTCGTCGTTTGGTGTGATGCTGGGCTTTGTCCTTGCTTGCCACCTGTTTGGCTTATCGACTGGCACCGACAGAGTCAGTTTTATTGTGTTGGAAATTTTAGGCTTTTTAAATCCTCGCAAACTTGTGCTGCAAAGTCGGACTGGATGACATTTTGCGTTTGTTCTCAAACTAATTAAAAGAAACGATGCGTCACACATATGCCATCGCACATTCTAATGTTACCGGATGGACATATTTGGCGCATCCTGGAGGTCACCGCCAGTCAGCAGTGAACAGCTGAATCAGTGCAAGGATTGACCCCGAAATATCCGTATGATGCATCTATAACCTGAGATCGAGTTGATGTAGTTTTATGTTTTATTTATCAAACCGTACGTGGGAGAGCCTTTAGTGCACAATGAGCTGTACTTGCGTTGAAAATGCTGGTGTGTGCTATTGGCTTTTGATAACTTAGCACCTACTTTGCAACCTGAGGCTTGTTAATGTGAGTTTCAATGCGTATAGCTAAAGCTTTTTACGCTCACGTAGTACAATTTGTGGTTGCTTCCAACACCACACACAGCTTTTTAAACCAAACCCTGTTCCCAGCTCCCTCTGACGTGTCTGTAAATAGAAGCATACATTATTACAGTTTCTTGCTCAGTGTTCATCTCGTGTCTCTTCCTCACTGTCGTGGGGCCCGATACCAGAATTCTGCTCCTGCCCACCGGCGACTGATCCGAGCGGCCATTAGGTGAGCGAGGGAGCGAGGTCGGTCGCTCCACTGAGCCCCAGGGCACGCCGTCCTGAGCCGCCTGATGTCGGGATGCAGTGTCGGCGCGGGCGCGTCCGCCGCGCTCGGCCCGCCCACCGCGACGAAAACATGTCTAATGTGGAGTCGCTGGTGTGGACGACAGATGAAGAAGAGCCGAGTAGGATCAGAGTAGCTTACGATGCCGGCACTAAAAGGAATGCGTTCATAGCGGAGAAAGCGGCTAGTTCGCTGCTGCCATATGATTTCCTGAAACTTTGTAACGTATCTACGCTGTCCGATTACTTGCGATTCATATCATCGTTTTTTCGCGAAAATTTAATGTTTTCAATGGTTTTCTTAAGTCCCTTATTTTTATTTCTGTTCAAAATATGCACATAATTGCTGATCATTCTCTTAAGTGTAGAGAGAGGAGAGAGAGAGGAGGAGGATAGAGAGAGAGAGAGGGAGAGAGGGAGAGAGGGAGAGAGGGAGAGAGGGAGAGGGGAGGGAGAGAGGGAGAGGGAAGGGAAGGAAGAGGGAGAGGAGGGAGAGGGAGAGGGAGAGGGAGAGTGAGAGTGAGAGTGCGGGAGAGAGGGAGAGAGAGGGGGAGTGGGAAATTACAGATAGCTTCGCGAAAATAAGAAGGTCGACAACGCATAATGTGCTTTTACGACGCACAAGAAACTGCGCGCGCCTGTGGCACGCTAAACTCGGCTTTCAGTGAAAAATTTCAGTGAGTTGTGCCCCCCCCCCCTCATTGTAAATCTTTGCGTATGCCCCTGACGGTTGTTATCGGTTGCTAGAATCAGTATGCTAATGGATTATCGGTCAACATCTATCTTCCTTTCTGCCAGTGCCATGACGATCTCCCATATCAAGACAGCTCATCGTATATCTCCTCCGCGTTAGATCCTGCTTAATAATCTCATCGATTGCCATGTGTGGGCTTCACATGGCTAATGTGATGCATTTATGTCGGTTTGTTTGAGGGCAGACTCATAAACAATGGAACTTGCTGGGTCCCACACCGAACTAAAGGCAAGAATACGCGATTATGTAATGTTGTGGCATGCATCCATCATGCAAATCACCGCGCCACTCTGTTCATTCTGTGTGCAACTATCGACGCTGCGTGGCATGATGCTCGTCCAAAGCTCTTGGCTGCGTCAAATTTGGACAGCCCATTAAACAATACGCTCCGCGGTAATGCCAGCTCATACTCGGCCGACGCGGCCGCCCCGCGCGCCGCAGTTCAGCGCCGCGGCGGACCCTGCGTCGGCCGCCGCCCGCTCGTCTGACCTTTAGGTGGCTGCCGAAGACACCCGGCTCCAGCCCGCCGTGCTATTTTACGACGGTGCTCGTCTGGTTGGCGAGCAGGGGCTTGAACGGAGCTGAACAATGTGCCGTCGTGCTCAGATGGGGGTTGGGCTGCTTACTTTATATGATCGTAGCATATCTCTAACAGATGTCGGGCGAACACGGACGTGACCTTTCGCACACGGTTGGTGGTTGTTCAACCAAGTCACGCGACGGAGTCATCGCATTATTTACAGGGTTTTTGCTTTGACCTTTTCAAATAGTAAGGATAAGCTGAAACGTATGTGGGTTTGCTTCCTGTGAACAGTCGTTGACACGCACCCGAATGGCCGGTTGAATACCCTTCGCAAAGGTGGGTGGGGGTGGGGGTGGGGGTAATTCGACAGGCTGATATCTTAAAAGACAAGAGAGATTAAGCCACCAAATTCACAGAGTGGATTGGGCTATACGTGAACTTACTTTGTTCAAAATTTGAGCTTATAGGTCATGACCCATGGGTCAAATAATATAAAACAAGGTCAGACTCAACGTGTCCAACGTTTTCCAGTCCTCTTAATGCTGCCGCCTTCAGCCTAGGTACCTGTTTTAAGCAAAAGGCCACTGGTATTGATTTTAGATCAGCGACCTAGTTTGACCTCAGAAGGTCATGGGGACCAAAAGCTTACCAGATTGTTTTGATTTTGTTTATTTGAATAAGCGTTAAGGATTACTTTAAGCGATACGTTTCACAAAACAAAGGGCTGATCTGGGTCATCTTAGACTGACTACCTACTCTGACCTTCAAGAAGTAAATGTCTGTTGCAATTCTTGTCAAAAAATCAAAATAGGCACCACAAACTATCCCTTAAAGCCACTTTTTCAGAGCCAGCCAGCCAAGAAATAGCAGATCGGTTTTGATCTCGGTCTGGCCTTCATACCTGACTATTGGTCAATAGAACGCGTTCCAATACTAAATTCAAATGTTGTATTGAATAAGAAACCATCTTAAACATGTATGGCGTGGTTTTACAATTCGTTGTCGCGCCACAATCAGGGCTTCCGTAGAGATTACCTTCGCTGACAGTCACGGCCTGACACTGACTTGCCCTTGGTCAGCGACTTACCTGGGGAATCTTATTCTGGATACCAAAATATCTGGTATTCAATTGCCCACAGCTATGCAAAGTTTGGCGCGGCAACTATTTTGTAAAAAACCTTCGGGGTGGGAGGGGAAGGGGCAGATTAACCTCCATCCGACCGCGTGCTAAACGAATCCTTAACGAATAGCTTGCAATTCTACCTGTTTGTGCGGTGTCTGATACAACTGTTAATCGCGTAGTGCTGTGCAACCAGTCTTGTCGTTGCTGTTATATACAACCGGAACAACCGGTCTCGTAGCGGCATGCGTCATCTGCTGGCACATACTGCGCCCTGTATCTCAGAATTTCCTGGGAGTATGGCCAGTGTGCCTGCTGCTACAGTCCTGGGTGTGACAGTGTGCATGCTGCTGCAATCCCGGGTGTGATAGTGTGCCTGCTACTACAGTCGCGGGTGTGACAGCGTGCCTGCTGCCACAGTCCCGGGTGTGATGGTGTGCCTGCTACTTCAGTCACGGGCGTGATAATGTTCCTACTGCTACAATCCTTGGTGTGGCGGTGTGCCTGCTGCTGCAATCCCGGGTGTGACAGTGTGCCTGCTACTGCAGTCACGGGCGTGACAGTGTGCCTGCTACTACATTCATGGGTGTGATAGCGTGTCTGCTGCTGCAATCCCGGGTGTAGCAGTGTACCTGCTGCCACAGTCGCGGGCGTGACAGTGTGCCTGCTGCTACAATCCTTGGTGTGACAGTATACCTGCTGCCACAGTCCCAGGTGTGATCGTGTGCCTGTTACTACAGTCACGGGTGTGATAGTGTGTCTGCTGCTACAGTCACAGGCGTGATAGTGTTCCTGCTGCTACAATCCCGAGTGTGACAGTGTGCCCGCTGCTACAGTTCTGAGTGTGACAATGTGCGTGCTGCCACGGCCACGGGTGTGGCAGCTCGTCACGTGACCGAGACCGGCTGCGTTCCAGAGCACTCCCACCGGATGGCGACCACCACGGTACTGGTGTCTGGGAACCAGCCGCCGCAGTTCTCCGATCGGGACTACACGGCCAACGTCTACGAGAGCGCCGCCGGCGGTACGTCTGATGCCAGCTCCAGCCACACGCACTGTCGCGGCCGTTGGCGTGGTCGCCGGGCCAAAACAGATGGCGTAATCATTCGGTTGGTTGTTTTCGTGAATGGCGTTATTGACGCAGCATTTTAGAGGCATATCGCAGTTTGCTTGAGAGCGAATGCCATATTTCAAACGGTCCTTTTCAGGACAGACCAATGCCTGATCAGACGGCCAGCCAATGTACCAGCCAACAACATCGTAAACATAATGCAATCATCGCCAGTGCTCCGAATGGTTTCCACAGCCTTGCCAAATTTCGTCCCAAACGTTCTGTAAGACTAAACCCTCGTGATATTGCACATGAGTTGGCGTAACCCAGCACCTATCGTGAAGTCCTTCCTCGTGAAAAAGATTTTTGTGATTTATGACGGCCCGGCTGTTCTTTGCTATTACCAGTGAAACCCAGCAGCGATCCTGGACCGGACTTGCGCTGTTCGTGTAAACCCGGCGTGATAACACCTTCCGAGAACAGCTGAACCACATCTCGTACCTCTGACACTGAGACTGGTAGAGCTTTCCGCACCGTCCGCCAGCACAGCCGCATTTGAAATGAATGTCCCACATTTGAGGGTATTGAGGCAAGCAGCAAAGACGAAATGAGCTCACTTATAGCTATTGATATACTTAAGTGGAAAGGACCGCTCTAGACAACACAATTGTATTGCTTATTGAATATGCTCTCCATCACGTCACTATTTGATTGATTGCGTGGGATAAATATCATGCTCGTTCTTGGAAAGCAAAACTTTTCCCTGACACAATTCCTTTAAACCCGCCACTACATTCGGCCCCAAATTCTGCCGGACTTGACTGATGCTGGCGAAGCAGTCCGTGCAGGCTTGGCCGGAAGAGCGATCCAGGCCAAGTTTGACAGACGGCCGTCATCTCTGCACTGGAAACATCGCTCACCGACAGACGCCGCTTCGACGGTCTCTCACATGGATGACATGCGCCGCCCTCGCGTTCTCATTCCCTGATTTACATTTGCAACGCGCATGTCATTAGACAACAGCTGACGGAGGCTACTCGTGGGCCGCCTGCCGTGTCATGGCGCCCACCCGGCGAATACAGAGTGGAGTGAACTGACCATGGCCTGCTGGAGACCACCCCGCAGTGTGCGACACCGGACTATGAAGGACAGTGTGCAGCACCGGACGATGACGGACAGTAGCACCGGACGATGACGGAACGGTGTGCGACACCGGACTATGAAGGACAGTGTGCAGCACCGGACGATAACGGACAGTAGCGCCGGACGATGACGGAACGGTGTGCGACCCCGGACGATGACGGGACAGTGTGTGGAACCGGCCAACGACGATACGGTCTCAGCCCAGTCCGTTCGCCGCGTCCACGGGGCCCGGTTTACAAAGAAGCCCGCTGCGCGGTCGCTGCGGGCTTCGTGGGAGGGCTCGTTGAAAATCGATTGCCGATAACGAGCTCACCGCTTTGTGGTGCACTTGATTAACAAGCTACTTCAGTGCGCTGTATATTAACGGTCTGGTTTTCGTGCAGTTCCATTGAATACCGGACACGGCGTGGGTGGTGCCCTTGCATGGTCACCCCCCCCCCCTCCCCCGCAGTTGTGCGCTGTCCTGCCTAATGGAGCACTCCGTGGGTGACGGCGCTGTTTGTAAAGCGAGTGTGTGTGTGGGGGGGGGGGGGGCAGATTGTGGGCGTCTGTTCTCGGTGGTGACGACGGGGCCGAGTCCGCTGTCGTAGTTAACTCTTAACAGTACTGCCCTCACAAACGACGCGACGTTAGTATGTGCTTGAGATGCAGCGGCCCAATAGTAGCGCCAACGTGAAAAACGACCTTCCGCCGTCGCAAGCGTCCGTCTGGGATGTAAAATGGTGACCGGAGTTTTGGCTCGATATGCTCGGGGTTTTGGCTCGATATGTCGGGGTTTTGGCTCGATATGTCGGGGTTTTGGCTCGACATGCTTCAGTGCTATGCTCGCGCGTCATGATGGTATCACTGGGTGCGAATCATGCTCTCCGGCTCTGCTTCGATCGCATGTCCAGGCCACCGCCTGTCCCAGGGCAAACCCAGCCCGGTTATCATCGACCTCTGCCATCGGGAGAAGGTTATCCACACACTCGGGCTTAACCATGTCACGCAATATGTCAGTGTTGATTTTGGGCCGGCCGTCACGCCGCCGGCCGTTTTGCAATCTCCTGCCTGCGCCAGGGGGCGGAGCCTCGCGACACCGTCCTGAAATATTTATTTTTTTTTGGTTGAATGGCTGGTCGGAGCCGGAAAGACTATCCCGCAAGGGAGCAACCACTCGCCCTCCGCCTTGCCAATGCACTGTCACGGATGGCAACCTAGCGCCTCGCCCGTATTCATTAAGCTCCTACCTCTTCTCCTTTTTCTGCTCCCTGGCCAGCTCAGCTGACGCATTGGCTGCTCCCTGACCTGGCTTAGCTGACACATCGGCTGCTCCCTGACCTGTCTAGCTGACGCATTGGCTGCTTCCCTGACCTGGCTTAGCTGCGCATTGGCTGTTCCCTGACCTGGCTTAGCTGACTCATTTGCTGTTCCCTGACCTGGCTTAGCTGACGCATTGGCTGTTCCCTGACCTGGCTTAGCTGACGCATCGACTGCTTCGTGACCCAGCTTAGCTGACGCATCGGCTGCTCCCTGACCTGGCTTAGCTGACGCATCGCTGCTCCCTGAACCTGGCTTAGCTGACGCATCGGCTGCTCCCTGACCTGGCTTAGCTGACGCATTGGCTGCTCCCTGACCTGGCTTAGCTGACGTATCGGCTGCTCCCAGACCTGGCTTAGCTGACGCATCGACTGCTTCGTGACCCAGCTTAGCTGACGCGAACGACTGCTCTGTGATCTAGCTTAGCTGACGCAACAACTGCTCCGTGATCTAGCTTAGCTGACGTGATGACTTTCACCTGACTTGAAAACGCTTTGAGCTGCTCTTGGCGGTCGTGATTTTACAGCGTCACACATCGGCTTATAACAGCAGTCAAACGCGCCGCCCCGCCGGCTCGTCCGTGCATGTCATTGACAACCCTGAGCGGCCCCTCACGGTGACAGTGGCGCCTCCGCGCTACCGGCCCTGGACGAAGCAGTCAAACGCGCCCGCCCCCGCCGGCTCGTCCGTGCATGTTATTAACACCCCTGAGCGACCCCTCACGGTAACGGCCGGCGCCTCCGCTCTGCCCGCCCTGGACGATCGACCCCTGTCCGAACCGCGCCCGTGCACGGCCCGGCCCGCCGTTGCCGGTCACCGAATCGATCAGTTCCCCAGCGCTCCTTACCCGGCCGTTTGTCTTTCATCGGAGCGCGGGTCGCGGTCATTCGGCGGCGCACGCGTACCGCGAACTCGTTGTCGGCCGCGACGCCTGAAGTTGGCGCTGATGAATGTTCAACGCGCGTGACCCTGGGTCGTTGGCCAGACCGGTGGCCATAATGCAGCAGCATGGTCGCCAAGCACGGCCGCAGCCGGCGCCGCGCCGGTGCTGATGCTGGTTGGATCCGCGGATTCCGCGCGCGCCCTGCGGCTCGGCTGGGTGCGACGGAACGAGATGTGGTGCTGTAGCGGGAGGCTCCGGTAAAAGTCGTTTGGTGCTGTTGCTCCGTAGGTGTTCTTCGTTTTAAACACGCTCTGTGAGTCGTTCGCTCTGATAGTGCGCGCTTGTCGCTTACGCGCCGCGCCGCGACGCGGCCGACGTCGCGCCGCTGTCCGTCCCGTCGTCAGTCTGCCCTACCCGAGGGCCGGCTAAGCCCCTGACCCGGCGCCGGCACGTTATGTGTGTCGGCACGTCCCCGGATCGCCGCCGGGCCGTGGCATGCCGCACGACCTCCGCGGTCGAGGGGGAGGGGGCGGGGGGGGGGGGGGGCGGGGCACCATTGAATTAACGTGTCACTCGGGCGGGGCGGTTGCACAGGCACGCCAGGAATCTGGGGCATTTTGTAACCGTCGCCGCCGGCGCCACACTCACGGGGTGGTGCGTGTCCACCGCCGCATTTCATGTCCTAGGTCCATGATATTCACACCGTCCTTGACGTCTGTTATATTCATTGCCTGCAACGCGCGTGTAAGTTCATCATAGTCACCCTGTCCTTCCTGTCCGCTGTATACATAACGTCGATCACGTCTGTCATTTTTACCATGTCTTTTGCGTTTACCGCATCCATGTCAATCACGTCTCCAGCACCTACCGCGCCAACCACATCTATCGCATGCTGCACTCTACTCACGTCTACTCATGTATCAAGTCATTCGCCTCTGCCGCACCCGCCACGTTGATCCGATCTATCAAACCTTGCAAGCCAGTCAAATCTACCGAATCCACATGTCAGTCGTGTTGTCTGTATACTGCTCGTCTAGGACGTCGATGGTATTCACTCGAGTTTATCGTATCCACCGCGCCATGTACGTCTGCTGCACCTTGCCAGTCTATCCAGTGCGGTCACGAGACGGGTCAGACGCCGCGGGCAGTTATCGCCTGGGGGTTCGGCGTTAGAGGTCACCATACAGTGGACATTCAGCTGGTTAACTTGAGTAGAAAAAGTTCCTTCCCGCTGGATATCGGCGCGTCTGTCATGCTCTGATTTTGCTTGCCGGGTTGTTGTGGTCTGATTTACGTGTTTGAAGGGTTTGAAGCCGCCTGTTATCATATGGTGTCGCCTGCCATCGCGTTCGGTGTGTTTTGATGGATAGCCTTGAGTTCCGTTTGTTTGGATTCGGTCGAAAAATGAGCGCTAGGACAGAACTGGAAATCCGCTGCATAGCACAGGCAGCCGTGCCTTCTACAAATAGCGTCGCCGTTAGCACTGTCCGATACACCAGGACGCCGGCCCGCCGCCGAGGGGTCAATAGACCCGTCGAAAGCCGCTGGTGCTGAACAGCTTCTGCCCAGACTGCGGTACAGCTTTGCAAAATAATTGGGAGGAGGCTGCACAGGGAAAGTAGCTAAATTTTCATTATTATTTATTATTTCATTATTATATATATATATATATATATTTATATTTTTATTTATATTTATATATATATATATATATATATATATATATATATATATATATCATTTCATTATTATTTCATCAGCATAAACATTCCCTAAATTACGCGAAAAATGTTTTTATCTCCACATCTACCCGTTCTTAAAACTTTTGTGGAAGGGGTAGGCAGAGTCCCCCTAAATAGGAAACTACACCCCTGGACCCGACTATAAGAGAGAGCGTCATGAAAAGTATGCAGGCTCCTAACCCAATCATTGGTGTTCAATATCTGTAGAAGATGCTTCCGATTTTGCATAAAATTGGTTGCAATCGGTGCGTGCGAAAACAGATGAAATGCGATCCATTTCATCGCATGAATGAGCCTTGCTTGTGTAGGCTGGTCACGATCCAGCTTCGAAGCGATGCGACTGGTGAACTGACGCTCGAGCGCGACGTTGGTGAACCTCCGCCTTCCTAGCTCTCATGACAGACGGACTTGAACGACGATAAGGCCCGTTGATTTGGGTTGGAAGCGCTCCACCTGCACGTGCATCGGTATCATCTATATTATAATATTCTCCTCGTCATTGGCGAGACCTCGGGTCTCGCCCGTTTCTCGTGGCCGCTCATGTTGGCAACGTTGTAAACTAACTGCAGAGCTTAGTGGCCCGTCCGTGGTGAACATTTGGTAGTTGGAAACTTCTAAATGAATTATGTCACTGTGGGTGTCTCCTAAACCCGGCGCTCGTGCTGCTAAACTTTTCAGCACCAGACAACGGGGTATGCTGCTTAACAATGCCGTGCTCTTTAAAAGGCAGCAATGTATGAATTTTACGATGCAATGTTCAGAATAAAGGCTTAATGTCTCAGCTGAACTATGGATGTAAATGGATTGGGTATAATTGAACTACATAACACGCACCAACTTCTGTGATCAAAGCGCTGGGCCTCATCATAGGCTTCGAATCGAGTCTATTTCTAAAGTTAGTGTTCGAAGTAGACGGCATTTCTGTCACAGTATGTTCGACAGGCTGTAGCACTGCGCGCACATGAGGCGTTAACCAAGCACATACGGACTTCAAGGTGAGCGTAAGCGCTGTTCTCACGGGTTAAGTAGTGGCAAGACAACTTTCAGCTGTGCGGCGCCCTCTTAAAGCGGGTCGCAGCTCGGATCTCTTGCACGCGCGCGTGTTCATGCCGCGAGCTTTTACTGCGAAACATTTGTTTACGGTGGGATATCGGTGTTGTCCTAGCCGACATGGGGCTGAGCCATTACACCGGCACTCCTTTACGTCATCGTCATCTCCGGCGCCCACAAAGCACGCAGCATGGCTCTGGTGTAGCATGATAAGGTCATCACTAACAAATGGAGCATATCGCCCCCAACCAGGCCTGGTTGAGGTCACCCGTGCGCTCCGGCTTGATTCGTCCATGTGCCGGAAATGTGCAAGACGACGGGCAACCACCGCCCAACAGGCCCGTATTAAATAAATAGCTCGCTCGGTGCGCTTCAGAGACGCGCTGATGGAGACATGAGCTCCTGATGAAGATTTCCCCAAGGTCCCTGACCACAGCCACTTCTGACTCCCGGTTGGAGACCAAAGTGACCTGACCTGACCTGACCTCTGCCGGCTGCAGGGTCTCTGGTGCGGGCTGTGGTGGCGCAAGACCCAGACACGGACCCCATCAGCTACTTCATCCGGTCACCAGGCAGTACCCTGGACGTCGAGGTGTACCAGATGGTGAGCAGACCGCTGGCAGCAGCGCACACAGCGCGGTAGGGGCGCCGGCGCCTCAGGGTCACATACCTGCACAGCAGGGCAGGCGAACAGCAGGGGTCGCCCAGGGAAGCGTCATCTTGTCTGCTAAATATTTTTGGTCTGCCTGGGCCTGGAACTCAGTGATGAATGTCTGTTGCCATGTCTGTCGAGTGTTGGCTGTCGGTCACCGTCTGTCGAGTGTTGGCTGTCGGTCACCGTCTGTCGAGTGTTGGTTGTCGTCCGCGGCGTCTGCCGAGTGTTGGCAGCCGGCCGCCGTGTCTGTCGAGTGTTGGCTGTCGGTCACCGTGTCTGTCGAGTGTTGGCTGTCGGTCATGCCTGCCGAGTGTTGGCTGGCGGTCGCTGTGTCTGTCGAGTGTTGGCTGTCGGTCATGCCTGCCGAGTGTTGGCTGTCAGTCGCCGTGTCTGTCGAGCTCCCCTCGTCGTCTGCGGCGGGCGGCGCGCGGCGGCGCGGCGGGACCGCCTGTTGCTCTCGGCAGGCGGCGGTGCGCACCGCCGCCGCCCGCGTGTCGCCGCTCCCCGGATCAGCGCTAAGTGATGGATCACTGGCGCCGTATTAGCATCCGACTGATGATGTCCGCCGCCGGGATATTGCATCGTGAAATGAATTTCGTGACCATTAGGTCGAGCACTTTTCGGCGTCTTTATTAACAGAGACGGATGGCATATGCTCTTGAAGGTGGACGGGTGGTGCGTCTCCGGAGATGAGCCGAGAAATGAGTCATTTGTCCGACGGACGGGCGTGGTGATTATTATGTAGCAGGCTGTTGCCTGGTGCGCCTTCGGCGGCGCGAATTCAGAAGGCTGTTGATAACTATCGGAAATCGGTAGACAAGACGCACTAGTCGTTCTGTGTCAACTAAATTGTCATGCCGCGCTGCCGGTCGGCCGATTTACGCGAGCTGCATACCTTGCCGTTGCGACAATCTTCTGCCTTGTCTCATAATGTACCACGTCTTCCCTTCCTTAGCGGGCATTCACCCCGTGCGGCGCCGTAGAGCAGCCCACGTACCAGCTCTGGCGCCGAGTTAATCGAACCCGATATCAGATCCAAGCTCTGGTGCATGTGATTGGTTTCTGACGGAACGGCAACGCGATCAGCCAGCCTTGTCATCCCCTTGCCGTCATTATAAATGCATACCATTTGAGCGAAGGAGTTTTTCAAGCACGACTCAATTGAAAGCTGTTCATAGTCTGCTCATCATACGTCAATGGTCAATTATTGCTGCTCTGGGCAAAAAGCCTTGGAGCTTTTTAATCCTCGTTTTTATGGTCTGATTGTGATGAATGATTCGCACATCTGCGGCGTGGTGCCATTCGCTCAGATGTGGGCCTTTTTGCAGCCAGTCGTTTGCTGTCAGGAGCTGTGCCTGCGAGTAAATCGTCCCGTTGAGTCTAAACTTATCATCCGAACAGGTGTTCCTAAGATATCGTTAAAGTGGCCAGTGCTGATCAGCGCTCGCCCCGCACAGGGGTGTAGCGCTGCGCCCCTGACCTGTGCCGGTGCCCTGGTGCTTTTCCCCACAGAGGAAGCCAGGGCCCAGGGGCCCGCACAAAATTTTGCAACAGAGGGTAGGGTCCGGCAGGACTCAACGTATTTCACGAAAGCCAGTTCATTGTGCCGCAGGCGTCCGAAATTTGAGACAAGACAAAACAACATCGTTTGTTCTAGATCCCGTTACTTTACCTGTCTCCCGTCAACACTTCACTGAATTGTCGGCGTTTATTTGCCCAAGTACTGATACATATGATCCATTTGTTGAAGGGTGGGGCACATGAGCCCGGGGGCCTCTGTTTGAACACGCCCGCGGCGGGGTCGGTCCGTGGCAGTCCCTGAGGTGGCATTGCTAGGCGTTACGTCTTGTCATTGGCGTGCCATGCGCCGTCAGTGCTGCAAGCCATTCAAGGCCGACATTTTTGCATAATGCTACGACCGACATCGGCTGGAATGTTTCTTCCGAGCAGTGTTCTATTTATGTCTAGGTACTGCAGGGAAGTGGGCCACTGTTTTACCGACCTGGCGAGCTGGGCAGCCGGACGCGCTGAACGCTGGGGTGCCGTACGGCAGGGTCCGCGTGCGTGTGTGTACCGGAAGTACTGAACGCTGGATTGCCGTACGACAGGGTCCACGTGCGCGTGTGTACCGGAGGCACTGAATACTGGGGTGCCGTACGACAGGGTCCGCGTGCGTGTGTGTACCGGAAGTACTGAACGCTGGGGTGCCGTACGGCAGGTCCGCGTGCGTGTGTGTACTGGAAGCACTGAGCACTGGAGTTGCCGTACGGCAGCGTCCGCGTGTGTGTGTGTGTGTGTGTGTGTGGACGTTGCGTGTGAGGGACCGGCTCCGATGGAGGGCCGTAAGCTGATGTCTTGAACGTAAACTCGCACTGTAAGCAGACCGTCATCGACAGTCGACGGTGAACAGTAACACAACATGCACTGAAAGCGCTTCCCTATACTTTGCGCATTCCTCGCGCATCATGCTAGTGACGCCCTTATGTTTACAAAGCTGTCACGAAAAGACGTTAGTGATGACAATGTCTCGCTTCCATGAACTTACATAACGCGTGATAACTCGCAGCGGTATTCAGCTAACGGGCCGGGGCAGTATTGTGCAATTCAGACTATCTGAGTGACACAGCCATGTCGTCACTCTCCAGCCATGCTCAGAACGGCTGTGATCTCGACGGCTTCAAAGTAATTGTACACGCGACCGAATTTATAACAAGGTGTTATCACCTAGAACAATGACTAACATGGACGTCATTCTGTAGCATCACCACGGACCTGGCTAGCTTGGTGTCCTGTCCGGAGCTGACCGCGAATCGTCGGTCCGAACGCTCCTCTCGCCCCCGTTATAGAGGACGGCCTATACCCGGGGCAGACGGCACCCGCGCTGAAGGCTAACCCCGGTCGTAAGAGCGCAAGCGTCTCAGCAGCCGGACCTCATCCGCCGTCCACAGTCCACCATCGGCAAGAGACCGGGCCGTCCGTCCACAGTCCACCATCGGCAAGAGACCGTGCCGTGCGTCCACAGCCCCCCATTCACAGGAGACCGTGCCATCCGTCCACAGTCCACCATCGGCAAGGGCCTGTGCCGTGCGTCCTCAGTCCACCTATCAGCAAGAGACCGTGCCGTGCGTCCACAGCGCCCCATTCACAGGAGACCGTGCCGTTCGTCCACAGTTCACCATCAACCGTCAGACGGGCGTGATCCGGCTGGTGCGCCAACCACCCAGCTTCGCAGCCGAAGACTACGCCTTCACCGTGGTAGCGCGCGACACGCACAACCAGAACGACACGGCCGCCGTCCGCGTGCACGTCATAGGTCGGTGGCAGCGCTGGGCGGCACCGGGGTCGCGATTGCTGGCCGGCCGGCCGCTCGGTCCCCCGGAGCTGGCCAGTCATTTTTCTTACGGGACGGCCCGACCCGGACATAGGCCGAGACCCCCACCCCCACCCCTCCCCACCCCGGGCGGGTTGGACGATGAGAAAGACTAGTATGACGGCGGGAGAAGGTGATGGTCGATGTGGGGGAGAACGGGTACCGATCGAACACTGGACGAGATGCGGTACGGTGGGTGGAGGTTGGTAACGTGTGCTCAGGGAGGAAGGGGAGGGGGCACGCCCTGTGCAGAGTGCCGCTTCTGTGCAAAGGCATTCTTCCCCACTCATTGAGGCAACAGCGCACGGGGCCTTGGTTCGACCTCAAGTAAGAAATGATATGTGGGACTCGTATATTGCTTCTGTTCAAGTTTAAGTAGCTTGGTAATTTGTGCAAGAGTTAGCTGAAGCAAAAACGCATTATTTGCGTCTGTAACAGGGCCGAACACGACGGAATGAAAATCCCTGTATCGAGCAGCTGTTCTTGTAATCAGAAACAGCTTGCCAGCAGATCGTAACTCAGAGCCAGCGCTTCATTTTCTAATTCAGGGAAGCCTTGCATTGAATAGGCTTTGCAATATTGTTCTCACCCTTCCGGAACAGCTGATTTTTGTTCTTTTGCACTTTCTCTGACAGCAACTGTTTATAACGCAGTTTTCCTGCTGCGTTCTGCGCCGGCCCCTCGCTTGAGGTGCTCTTGACAGATTCAGGCGATTGAAGCACACTCTCGGCTGGCTTCCCGAACGTTTCCAAATCCCAAGGCAGTGCCTCTGGCGGCTGACAGATCAAGCCACGGAACCCATCGCATGCATGCTCTATGAGGCCACGGATTCGCTACTGACGGTCTGATCCGCTCACCTGCGGCAGCAAATACAGCGGTAAAGCCCACTTGTCGCGGCTCCTCTTGCCGCGATGACGTCGTGCGCTCCACAAATCGTCGTGTTTTTGTGTGTTTGATTTTTGTTTGTTTTCCGCGTGCGAGGATGCTGCGCTCCGTCGCGTGTCTCTCCTACTGCGGACGTACGGGGATGGCCGATCTGGGGCGACCGCTGCGCCCTCGGCGGCACCGCCAATCAGCCTAAGTGACCTGACCTGTGCCGCGTGTTCGCGGCGCCGCCGCAGGCGCTCGGACAACGGCTGCTGAATAATCCAGCGCCGCCGCTCCCGACGCCGTGACGGCGGCGCAAAAACGACGCCAACTTTGTCGCAATCCTGGGCGTGGAAGTTTTTCCATTTAGCTCGAACGTGCGCCGGGGGCGTCGCCGCCGGGAATGGTGCCACGTGCTCGCCAATCACACCGCCGCCGCCGGGAACCAGCTCCAGCCTGCTCCCGCCGTCGACTCCCGTCCACTCCCGCCTGCTCCCGCCGTCGACTCCCGTCCACTCCCGCCTGCTCCCGCCGTCGACACCCGTCCGTTTCCGCCTGCTCCCGCCGTCGACTCCCGTCCGCTCCGGTCTGCTCCTGTCCGCTCCGCCTGCTTCCGCCCCCTCCCGCCGTCGACTCCCGTCCGCTCCCGCCCTCGTCACACCTGTTGCCGGGCGTTCGCGGCGCTTTCGTCGTTCCATCGGCCGGCGACGGCGGCGGTGGCGGCGGCTTACAGTTTGACGCGCGGACGTGTGGCGGGCCGGGCGCGCCGCGACCGCCGGCCGCCGGCGATCACGCCGCTACGTGGGTCAATTTGGCGTGCGCCGGCTGCCCTACGCCGGTTTCATCCTCTCGAATCGGTCGGCGATGGCGGGATTATTCGCCGGGCGAAGTGGGGACAGGCCGCGCAGCGCTCTCGTCATCGCAGGCTCACCCAGGGGACGGCGAGGGATTTGGTGCAACGCGGGCCAGCGCCGTCCAATCAGCCACGGTCTCGGGCGCTGCGGTGGTGCGGGCGGGCTCGTAATGGAAGGGCCTGACCTGACCGGACCTGGTCTGGCACAGGTCAAATGGAGTTTGCCTCCGATCACAGTGTGTTTAACCAGCTCCGAGCGCGACGACTGGCCTCACATGTCTGGACTGCGTTAGCCTTGGCGTCAGCATGACTGGACAGATGGCATAATCATTTCTTCATCACGAGTTAATCTGATAGCATGCCTAATGTAGCACAATTGGTTTTCATTGCATCACGAGCTCATGTTCGATATGTCACAATCCCATTCCATCATTGGCTCGAGCCATGCTTCCAGTGTGGCCGCGTCACCGTCGTCTCCACGCAGCGGCTAACGCCCATCACCTCGCCCCGCAGACGTCAACAACAACCGGCCCGTGTTCACCGAGTGTGACCAGTACCGACCAGAGGTGGCCGAGAACAAGGGCGCCGGCACAGCCGTGCTGCGGGTGAGTGGGGGCCGCGCCCGGCCGAGGCGAGCAGAGAGGCGCGAGGCGGACGCGGCTCGGCCGCCCGCGCGCCGTCGGCCGACGCCCGGTGACGGCGGCCGATTCGCGGCCGGTGCCGTCATTGGGGAGCCGGCGGCCGCGCGGCGACAAGTGCACCGCCAGTGGCCGGGAGCCGCCGCTCCAGGTGCGCCTGCAGCTGCGCCCGGCGACGGCAGCGGCGCCCCCAGCTCCCCGCCTGCCGCCCCTGCTTGCGCTTCGATCGCCGCCGCGCTCGGGTGTCGCGTGGCCGTCCTCAGGGAATAATTAATCGGCGCGCATTGGCCGGACCATGTTTGTTTCAGTGTGATATGTTCGGCTGCTCGTCAGGCATTCACGATCGGCGTAGGCCCTTGCCGTCGCGTGCGGACGGCCCGGTCCGGCTTTATGAGCGTGGCGCCGCCGCGCGCCGACCCGGGACCGGCGCGGCAGCGGGGCCCAGGCCCGGGCGCCCGTCGCGCTGACGTTCCGCGGCGGGAAGCAACGGCTGCGTAGTTCTCAACTCGTGCCTAGTTGCGTCCCGGCTCGCTGTTGTCCCGCGAGACGAGGCGAGGCGAGTAATTTGCAGCCGGCCGACCCTGGCGGGCTGTTGACATTCGTTTAAATTTATCGTCGATTCAGGTCTCCTAAATATCTATCAAAGTCGCCCGCTGCTCCGTTGGCAGTTTGATGTCACGATATGCGGCCTCTGACGACTTTATTATTGGCCGTGGGCGTCCGCTGAGCCTAATCCCTGACTGTTTTGCTCTCCATAATCCCCAGCATCAAACAGAGGCTGTTTCCGAGTGTCTGGTCACATCAGCATCAGCCCAGGGCTGTATTTCCTCTCCTTAATCCGTATTGATTTCGGGACGAAAACTGCTCCCGTCCGCCTGCTTTTTTGCGGCTTTTATATAGAAAGACGGGACGCCCTAAATGTGTAGTTGATGATTCTATCCTCAGAGAGTCAGAGATGCTTGTCTCGAAGCTAGAAATCCACAGAACGCGTGTCAACTGCTCCATGATCGGCGAAAGCCCGGCGGGAGTCTGAGAGCGGCACGTGTGCGCGCCCTCGCCTCGAGCCTGGGGACGCCGCTGGACCGCGGTATCAGGGTCTCGCCGCAGGAATGCGTTTGCCGCGCTGGGGCGGGGTCCTCGGTCTGGAACGGACTCATGCCATGTCAGAGGGCTATTCGGACATGGCGTGCCCGTGTTCAGTGGCAGCGAACTACTGCGCCAATTTCGTGCTGATCACCAGCTGCTGGCTTTCAGAGCCGTCGGATTTATGCGAGGCAGGGCAAAACAGGTGTTACTGAAACGCACTGTGTGGTGTGATGACGCCAACTCTGAATTGGTTTTAATCTCCAAAACTAGACAGATTACGACGTTAAAATGTTAGATCGCAGTATTTCTTATTAACATTGGAACGCATCAATAACGTATTGGCATAGTGCTGCAGTGTGCTCTTGCAATCAATATCGTAGCTGGCTTTTTTGCAGCATCACTTCTTTCTGCAGGATCATGTAGTGATCAGTTTTGATATAGCATATTGCCATTAAATATCCTACTAGAGTGACAAAAACAAAGCGTTTTTATGTGAAAGCACGCCTTACGAGTCAGCCGTCAAATTTCTGGACCAGAGATCATGTAAACTACGCTTGATAAGGTGGCACCGTCTTTCCATTAGCTTTAATTACCTATGACAGACGAATCGTTAGGTGAGATGATTTGAGGAATCGAATGACAATGTTCCACAGAATCATGCAACCTCCATGATCCCTGGCGCCCCTCACTGTGTCTCGCTCATCTGTCCAGGTGGAGGCGACTGACGCCTGACAAGGGTGAGAACGCCGAGCTGGTCTACTCGCTGGTGACCAGTCCCAGCTCGCCGGAGTCGTTCTTCAGCATTGACCCCACGTCCGGTCAGCTGACTACGCTCAAAGTAAGCCGACCAGCTGCGGTCTGCAGGCAGGCCGGCGGCCGAGGCGTTTCGGCGGGCTTGCAGACGGACCAAATCAGGCCAGTGGTGCGCTAGTCCGGCCGGCGGTCTGCCAGTCCGGACGGCGGTATGCTGGTCCGGCCAGCAGTCTGCTGGTTCGAACAGCGATCTTCTGGTTCGGACGGCGGTCCGCTGGTCCGGACGGCGGTCTGCTGGTTCGGCCAGCGGTCTGCTGGTTCGACCAACGGTCTGCTGGTCCGGCCGGCAGCCTGCCGGTCCGGCCAGCGGTCTGCTGGTCCGGACGGCGGTCCGCTGGTCCGGACGGTGGTCTGCTGGTCCGGCCAGCGGTCTGCTGGTTCGACCAACGGTCTGCTGGTCCGGCCGGCGGTCTGCTGGTCCGGCCAGCGGTCTGCTGGCCCGGCCAGCGGTCTGCTGGTTCGAACAGCGGTCTGCTGGCCCGGCCAGCGGCCTGCTAGTCCGGACGGTAGTCTGCCAGTGGGTGGTCAGCCGTTGTTGGCAGAGGTCTGTGGGTCGGGCCAGCAGTGAAGGTTCACTAAAGCACGCCGCTCTCCCCCTGTTCAGCGCACGTGTGGCAGTGTTGATATTCATGTCGCCGTCAAGTGTTAAACTGCGGGCGTTTTCACTATTCATAATGGTGCTTGCACAGTTGGCTGTCGTGTCATTTTGAGTAGTTATTCTGTGTTTGGCTCGAACGTTTCATAGCAAACATGCCAAACGACTTTGAGCGCATCAAGGTATATTACGAGGGTGATTCGCCAAGACGTTTATGACGATTGCCCTCTAAGCTGGCATTAGCAGCCTCGTTGTTAGCGCTGTGCTGGCACGCTATAGCCGAGCCCAGACACCGCGCCCGGGGCATCTACTGACTGCAGGAGAAAGCCAACGGCGTGCGAGGCTGAAAGAACGCTTTTCGAATGTCTCGTTGCCCTGACAGAGCCGGGTGAAAGGAGGGAGAGGGTCGGGCGGGTGGCCTGAGACGTCGCCTAGCGACATCCGCCGCCTTTGCCCGCGTCGTTTTTTCCTCGTGCGCCGGCGTCGTCGCATGATTGATGCGGCGTATTTCGACGGCCGCCGCTGGTTTTTGCCCTCACCTGCCGTGCAGACGTCGGTCGCATGATGGAACAATACAGTGGCGGTCGGTGAAAAACCCGCCCGATATGTCTCCTCGGGCCGCTGCCGCCGGCACGCCGGCACACCACGTGACCTCGCGCTGGGAGGGACTCTCGCGTTGTTCCTTCGCGGTCGGCTTGAGCAGTGATTAATCAGCATGAGCGGAATAGTGAGCGGCGGCGGCGGCGCTAAGGAGACCGGTAATCACGGCGGGCTGTCCGGCCCGGCGGACCCACGTGTGTGCCTGCCGGCCGGAAATGACGCGGCGGCACGCACCCGGTCACACCGGCGCACGGGCCGCCAACCGAGACGCCGGCCGGGCAGACGGCGCCGGCGGCGCGGGGCGCGAGGCCGCAAGGCGCTTCGGAGTGCTGGAGCTGTCGATGCCGCTCCCGCCGCTCCCGGTTGTAGGCATCGGAACCCGCGAAATGTGCGGCTTTGAAGTGGGACGCCACATGCCTGGGGCTGGCTTCAGTGAATGAGAGATACCTTGCTGCTGGCTTCTGCCCAAAACGCTTGCGGAACTCGTAACGATCCCGTCAAAATCAGACCACGAGTGCGTGTGACATGGCGTGTTGCGAGCTCGGTTGTCAAAACAAACGCTGCGATATCAAAGCGGACATGTCAGAGAGTGATCGCGTACCATCTGCAACCTGTCGTGCATGATTGTGGTAGTGCTTCCTTGCAAACCAGGCATCTTCCGTGATTTGTTGCGCCTCGGGCGCTCGTTTGCCAGCGGTGGCCGTGGACGTGACTCCTGCCCTCCATCTTTGCTTTGGGTCCGATAATCGGCATTTTTAACCTTTTAAGGCACACTCGCAAGAAGTATACCTTCTCATGTGCGCTTATTGCGGGGCTGTACAACTGAAGATACGTTTTCGGTGCTTATTTCAACCAGCTGCTGTAGGGGTGGGTGAGCATATCTCGTGCACGAATGACAACCGGCATGAGCTTACCCTCGATAATTGCTGGTATGAGTTTCAACACCAGTCGGTACGTTATGAATGTATTGGGCCGCTGCTCGTACGCTGATAGCGAGGTCGGCGTGCTGGGCCCGTCGAAATGCTCTTGGTCTGACATTTGACCTATGAGTTTATGCCTGTTGAAGTAATCCTGCATGTCGTCGACTGATTCTGGTGAAGTATGATTAGCTGTATTTATGCGGCGTATCATCAGAATGCCCGTGTGGATGTGTAATTATTCGTGTATTATGCAGGCTACGGAACACAACCCGCCCGTGGAGGATCGTGGGCATGTTTTGAAGTTCCGGCGCTGCCATTTCTCCTATTGCGGCTCTTATGGCGGAATAAATCGGGCACCATCTAATCTCAGAAGGCTAAAGCATCATGGCGCGCGCTTTTGAAGAATTCCCGCCGCCATGTCGACAATGGGCGTTACCGCCCGGTTGGCATCAGATGTGACCCGGCTTGAGTCATGACGGCAGTGTTTTAGCTGAGGGCCCGTAGGGCTACCGCAGGCTAAGCGCAATGTTGGCGCGACGTGCTGGACCACAGAGACGGTCTGCGGCCGAGAGGTCGGTATGGTCCCGACCAACCTCCGTTCAAAGCGGCTGCTGGGCACGGGCTACCACCGGTCGGTCTTAGCCGTGTGCGTCGGGCGTACGCTGGCTCCAGCGAGCACGGTGACGGTGACGTGACCGATGACCTGTCGCGCGCGTGACCAGCGCGGCTGGTGGCCTGTCGCCTGCGTGACCAGCGTGGCCTGTGACCTGTCGCCTGCGTGACCAGCGTGGCCTGTGACCTGTCGCGAGCGTGACCAGCGCGGCCGGTGACCTGTCGCCTGCGTGACCAGCGCGGCCGGTGACCTGTCGCCTGCGTGACCAGCGCGGCCGGTGACCTGTCGCGAGTTTGACCAGTGCGCTGACCAACGTCCGCTCCGTGGCAGGTCTTCAACCGGGACGAGCCGGATCACGAGAAGGAGCTGCGAGTGATCGTCAAGGCCAACGATCGGGGCACGCCGTCTCTTGAAGGCACATGCGCCTTCGTCGTCAACGTACTGGACGTCAACGACAACGCACCCATGTTCGACAAGTCGGTGCGTGGACTGGATGGGTGATCTGGATCGCGCCGAGGCCCGTGTTATGTGTATCTGCTGTGTTTCACTGATTTTGCTTTCGGGTAAGTTGTGTATAGACGTGCTGGGCGCCGATGGTTAAACATGTTTTGCAAGTAGCTACGCGGGTCTGGAAGCCGTGCTGGTGGCGGTGTCTTTCGATGTGTTATGATCGGCGTTGCTGTTCGAAACGGGCGTACTCTGGGTATGTCCTGTTTGAAACATGCGCTGCGTGCTCTCCGCTACCATCCCGATTACCCGTGCTTCGCCTTCCTCTGAATCAGGGGAGCCGTCGCTACAGATCGCAGTACGTGCTCAGTCCACTTTGTCCCTCTAGGCGGCTGCTCAAGCTGCGAACATGTTACACGTATCGCCCAGTACCCGCATACAGCTTTGTTCGCTGTTGGGAGTCCGAAACTGTAACCGAGATCAAACACCAAAGCCACTCAAGCGCCCGCTCATCAGCCGTCCGCGACCGACGTCGCGTCAGAGACAGGCGGCACACCGCCGCCATGAGCGGCGCCGGCGCCGCCGGCAGATTGCCTCCTCCATACTTTAATGGCGCCGCCTAGCCTGTTAGTGCGACGAGCTGAAATATTCACCGGGCGTAGATGCACGAGCGTCGCCTAACACTCGGCGCGCCGCCATCACTTCCGCGGCCACGGCGCGTGCGCAGCGTGGTCTGGACGGCACGCACATTCGTAGTTGTGTGTATGCAGCCCGCCAGTGTGTCGGTCGTAGCAAGGACGCAGGAACCGGGGGAGGGGCCAGTGGGGGCATTTAGCCCCCTCCAACTTAAAAGCTTGGGGTGGCGGCGCCTGTCCCCCCACTTAGAGGGCATGTGGAGGGGCCCATTGCGGTATGTGAAAGGCCCATTCCGAACTGAAAGGGATTATGTAAGCCTGTAAAAGTCCATTCTGACCTGTCGAGGGCTCATTCTGACCTATGAAGTGTCCATTCTGATAAAAAGGGCAATTCTTAGCCTGTATAGTGTTCATTTCGACCTGCAGAAGGCCTGTTATTGACTGTGGTCCATTCTAGCCTGAAAAGGCCCATTCTTATCTGTAGACGGCTTATTATTGACTGTGCAGGGACATTCTGTTCTGTAGATGGCCCATTCTGGTCTTAAGAGAGCCCATTCTGGCTTGTAGAGAGCCCATCATGATCTTTACACGATTACGTATTTAATGCAAAAGGCCATTTTTGATCTTGTAGAGGGCCCACCCTGACATGTAGAAAGCCTATTGCCGACTTTGGAGGATCTATTCTGGGGGAGGGGTAGAAGGGAGGAATCTGACCAGAAGAGGGCCCATTATTCCCTGTGGAGAGCTCAATCTGGCCTGGTGAGGGCCGTTCTGACCCGTGCACTGTGCAGGTCCCATTCTGACCTGTAGTGCCCAGTGGGTCCATCTGACCTGTAGAAAGCTCGTTATTGACTGTAGAGGGCCTATGTTGTTCTACAGAGTACCCATTCTGATTCGTATTGGGCCATTCTGACCCGTGCACTGTGCAGGTCCCATTCTGACCTGTAGTGCCCAGTGGGTCCATCTGACCTGAAGAAAGCTCATTATTGACTGTAGAAGGCCTGTGTTGTTCTACTGGGTATCTATTCTGATTCGTATTGGGCCATTCTGACCTGGAGAGGGCCCATTATTGAATTTGGACGGCCCATTCTGGCTTGTAGAGAGCCTACTGCTAACTGAAGTGTTTCCATTCTGAACTGTGGAGAGGTCATCTGGCTCATATAGGGCCTATCCTGACCTTGAGCAGGTTCATTACTTACTGTGAGGGGCCCGTTCTGGCCTTAAAAGGTCGAATTGGCCTGTATAGGGCTCATTCTGACCTGCATGGGGCCCATTCTAGCCTGTAAGGAGGCCACCATCCGATCTTGGGGGTGCATTTAAACATTTTGAAGTGTTTTCCTCCCCCAACTTGAACATAGTTCCCGCTCGCTTGGGTCGTAGTGTTGGTTTTGTGGGCTTCCCGTCGCGCTGCATGCCCACGCAAGCCGCGGAAGTGGTGGGCGTGGTGCCTGCTCGGCTCGGTGTCGCCAGGAAGCCTGGGAAGGGCGTCTCGCGCGGCTGCGCTTTGCTGTGAGAGATGCCGGGTGTGGCCGCTCGCCGATGACCTGTTCTCGCGCCGCCTGCCGCCGATGACGGGAGGTGGGGGCGCAGCCACAACACACACACGGGGCTCTTGGTCCCACGCACTCATTTGTTAAGCTTGGCTCCGACCGAACTTTGTGGTAACTTGGCTGTTCCCAGGGTCCCACGGTCCCCCTCAAAACTCCCGTCGTGCGCTTGGTCAGCCAATGTGTCCAGCCGGCCAGGTTATTGCTGGAGCGACTCGGCGCGCATGGACCTCGGATATTTAAAGACGCAGATGTGCCCACGCTCGTAACGTCGACGCCGATGCAATTGTAACATCGGGAGAGAGAGAGAGAATGAAGAGAGAGAGAGGAGAGAGAGAGAGAGAGAGAGAGGAGAGAGAGAGAGAGAGAGAGAGAGAGAGAGAGAGAGAGAGAGAGAGAGAGAAGAGATGAGAGAGAGAGAGAGATATTAAATGTGAGCCGAATTAGAAGCCCGGCTCGCAAAGGGGTCGACTCGGCATTCTCTCTTATTGTACATCGTGAGAGAGAGAGAGAGAGAGAGAGAGAGAGAGAGAGAGAGAGAGAGAGAGAGAGAAGAGAGAGAGAGAGAGAGAGAGAGAGAGAGAGAGAGAGAGAGAGAGAGAGAGAGAGAGAGAGAGAGAGAGAGAGGGGGGGGGGAAGCGTCCGGCAGCGGCGCGGGTTTTCTGCCGCCTTCGCCGAAGACCAGAAGCGTGTCCGCCAGCTGCCGGCCCGGCGGTGGATGGCTACATTTGTCTGCACGACAGCTCTGAAGCCGGCTGTTGTCAGCAGTTCGGCGGCGCCCCGCCGGCCCGGCACGCGCAGCGTTCCGCCGGCAGGCCGCCGTCGCCGGCGGCGTCGCGCGGTGGCGTCGCGGGGAGTCGTGACTATGACCCCAGCGGCCGTGACTCCGACTGGGGGCAGCTGGCGGTGGGCCGGCTGAGTGGATGGGAGGCGCCGGAGGCCACGGCGGCCGGTAACCGGGAGCCCCGAGCCGGCCTCGGGCGCCGGCCGGCCCAGCGCGGCCCGGCAGAAGTTACGAGCCGTCGCATTGGCGCACTGCCCCCCCCCCCCCGCTCTGACCCCACTGTCGGTCCGGTGCAATGATGGACTCGGCCGTCAGAACGCAACGCCAAACTTCCTTCTCCCCGAAGAATAGTTCACTTACAGCGATTGCCTGGTCGGCCTGGCTTTCGGAGATCTGCGGCGTTGACGTACGGCACGCTGGGGACAATTACAGCGCGGACACGGTGGACGTTGCAATGTGTCTCACGTCCTGGCCATGGAGCTGGAAGGCGTACGTGCGTCTCGCCCGGCCCTCCGGCACGATGAATTATCCATCGCGGGAGACGGCGGCTGGTGTTTTCAATGGCGCGAACGAATGGCTCGGATGTGTGGGAGCCTTCAATAGCAAGGGGCGCCGCGCGTTTTGTCCTGTGCCCGAGTGCGCGGTGTGGCCGTAACGCACTCAGCGAAATGACGTATCGGTTGGGCGTCTTGGCGCGAAGAGCATTGTGAAATGAGGAATGGAGAAATATGCGAAGCTGTCGGAGCACGAAAGCAACCGGAACAGCGGGAGGGTCTCAACTTGCCTACGGTGATCATGGGGTGGAGTCATGCTGCTACATCTGACATGAGCCATGGCCCGATCAGCTGCATTGTGAGAAGGCCTTCGTTTGTTATGCTGCTCAGTTACTGGCGTAGTGACCGTGCAGTATAGTGAGACTCTTTAACGTGGAATATTTGCTGAGCGTTTTATAATGCACGTTGCGAAGTGATGACTTCATCTGTTTGCGTGCCTATCACTAGATGAGTAGGATATTTGGACCCACGTCTCGGCGTGCTCGCTAAGCTGCGTGATGGTGCGAGACCGCGCCACACCCTTCCAAGCGCTAGACGTGACCGCGGCGCACGCCGGACGTCTGTCTCGTAACACCAGCCGGTTGGTCCCCGCTGCAGAACTACCAGGAGACGATACCGAAAGACACGGAGCCGGAGGCGGTGGTGCTGCGCATCTCGGCCACCGACGCCGACAGCGACAACAACGGCGCCATCGAGTACTTCATCAACGCCAGCCGGCCGTCGGACGCTAGCTATTTTACCATTGAGTCCCGCACTGGCGTCATCTCGCTGGCACGCAGACTCAGTCAGGTGAGACAGCCTGCCGCCGCGCCCCGGGCCACCCTCAGCCAGGTGAGACAACCTGTCGCCACGCTCCGGACCACCCTCAGCCAGGTGAGACAGCCTATCGCCACGCTCCGGGCCACCCTCAGCCAGGCGAGACAGCCTGTCGCCACGCTCCGGGCTCCCCTCAGCCAGGTGAGACAGCCTGTCGCTACGCTCCGTTCCCCCCCCCCCCCCCTCCTCAGCCAGGTGAGACAGCCTGTCGCCACGCTCCGAGCCACCCTCAGCCAGGTGAGACCACCTGTCACCACACTTAGAAGCCGCGACGGTAATGTGGCCGCAAATATAAACGGGGCTACTTATGTTGTTGATTATAGGTACCCTATGAAGATTTGCATAACCGAATCTGTTGTCAGAGAAACATGCCATGCCAGTTTTGGGATGATATTTTCGAGTCAGGTCGGCCGTTTGCCCCAATTTTCATGACTGGGGCACTTTGCAAACGTTTTATGATGGTAGTCTCTATCAGTACGCTGAAACCCTGTTGTTTGGTCATTCTGAAAGACCGGAATATGAACGATTCGGAAAAACAGAGCGAAAGAGCGGCGGTTGAAAGCTTTGTTTTTGGTAGTCAATTGCATGTAATGAAACTCTGCTAGAGTCGTTCAAAGCCAATGCTATGACAATAGACCTCAGTGCAGTTCCACAATGTATAATTTGACTGCGCCATCGCCGTCGGCGGCGGCGGCGGCCGGCTTCACGGCGTCCGTCAACACCGGTGCGTCGTTAGCGGGCGTCGGCGCGTGCTCTCCGCGGCGCCGGCTGCCCGACGAGCCGCTGCGCCGGCTCCATTAGCGGCCGCTCGTGAATCTCGACTCGTTACGGGGCTGGTAAACAGGTGCTGCCCGGCGTGGCGGCCGAGCCGGTGCCGCGTGCTGTCGAACCAGCGTCGCGAGAGAGCCGCTGCCGCTCGTCGGCCCGTTAGCGTCTGTTGCTGTCGGCGGCGCGAGACGGAAGCGTCTGGTGTCACGAGAGCTCGCCCCCGGAGAACGCCGCCGACCCCCGGCCGAAGGGGGCGGGGGAGCGTGAAGTGGGCCATCTATTCGCCGTATTTATCGGGTCTCGGGGACGCTGAGTACACTGGGGATCGTTCGGCTGACAAGCGTCGCTAGAGTGGTGAGGCGTGTCTGGCTGCTTGCCTGACCTCACCTGCTGACAGGGATGCAGGGACGCCGCTCGGCAGAGGCTGGGAAGGTGACACGACTGTTCATTACGCCGCGGAACACAACACCGAGTCAAATGTATGATGTGATTTGCCTTGTCCTTACGTATACGTATTCGGAGGTGTTCGGTGACAGTTTTTAACACGCGTTCGGGTAGGTGAGGTCAATTTGACCACGGATATTTTTCTGAACAGTTTTCCAACCACGTGGCACAGCCATGCCAAACTGTGTGTGTGCTTCTACGCAACTGAATAACTAATCTTTTGATGTACAGAATCAGGTATGGTCGTAAGGTGGATGGTCCAGAGCAGGTCAGAGTCAGGCCGTGGCTATCAGCGAAGACAACTCTTACGGAATCGTCCAATGCGATGCGGAAACGATGTCATGAAACTTTGAAATGGTTTCTTAGACAACTAGACAATAAGGATTACGACTGCCTCCGTTGAGCGGGCAGGTATAAAGGTCAGATCAAGGTAAAAAGTCAGACCACTTCATTCGCTGGACAACTTGTTTGATGGAGTAGTTTTGGACGTTTGTTTCCCTGGAAATTCGTGGCTCAGAAATTTTCTCTTGATGATTGAAATTTGATATCGATCATTTCCAACTGTTGTCGCCTTCTGTGGGTCAAAAAGATTGCTGACCTTGTATGAACACCAGTGACCTTTTGCTTGTAATTATATAAGTATGTTTATGCTGGTCGCGTGAGGAGGTCCGAGGGCGCTTCAAACATCGATCTGGAGCTTGGATTTGTTTGACCCTATTTGACCCAAAGGCCACGGCCAAGCGGCCTCAAATCGGGACTCAAGTGATTTCACATACAGACCTCCCTACCCTGTGAATGTTATGTCCGCGGCACTCTTAGTTTAAGAAATAACTCGTTGGATAAACTATCCCCGCCACCTTCCTCACCCGAGCGTCGCCTTCAACCGGCCACCCGTATCCCCGTCACCTTCCTCACCCGAGCGTCGCCTTCAACCGGCCACCCGTATCCCCGTCACCTTCCTCACCCGAGCGTCGCCTTCAACCGGCCACCCGTATCCCCGTCACCTTCCTCACCCGAGCGTCGCCTTCAACCGACCACCCGTATCCCCGTCACCTTCCTCACCCGAGCGTCGCCTTCAACCGGCCACCCGTATCCCCGCCACCTTCCTCACCCGAGCGTCGCCTTCAACCGGCCACCCGTATCCCCGTCACCTTCCTCACCCGAGCGTCGCCTTCAACCGGCCACCCGTATCCCCGTCATCTTCCTCACCCGAGCGTCGCCTTCAACCGGCCACCCGGGCCCTTGAATATATGCGGGTACGGCCACCACCTAATTTTTCACATGACCGGGAGGCCAGCGCTGAATGTTTGCAGTAAATTCCTAAGCCGAAACAAAGTCTTGTTGTGCGCGCCTATTTTGCGTAGCTGGAAATCAGCAGCCGCCTGTCTCCTCACCTCTTCCCCGGAAACGAAGTAATTACGGTCATCGCAAGCAAACTCCAGCCTCCAAGTACTGATTTTTATTTTATGATTAATGAGGATCAAGAGCAGTCGTGCAACTTTTTGTGAAGCATGTGAGGGTCTTCCTGCTTATAGTTCTCTCAAGTCTTGTAATGTGTTCAATATGATTTTGCGCTAGAGCGGATAAAGCAAAGCCGGTGTGCTTAAATATTTTGTTTGTTTTGTATGTACTGCCGGTGACTTTTATCGGCGAGGCCCTGAAAGCAAGCTCGAGTTTTTCTGGCTTCAGGCGTTTTGCAACAACGTGCTTAATTTTGTACCAATTTTGCTTATTTGTATTACAAACAAAAAACAAAAGACGGAAATTTCATTACATCACGTGATGTACTGTCAATACGGATGGGATGACTATATATTCTTCCAACGTGTTGCGCGTCTTCAGTGGTGTTACAGAGTTAAAAGGGCAAGAGGGGCAAATGATCACGCGCTTCTTATATCTATACAGTGCCGTGTGGCCAAGTGACATTCAAATCTTACAGCAAAATAAGATGCGTTTGCCCATCCGCCTTTGCTTTAAACCAACCCCATTTTTCGTATTTTTGCACGCATGTACAGAAAACTGAGGGATCAATACACCAAGCGATCGAACGAGCACGTCGCGGTGTCCTAAGCCGCCGACCTCACCTGATGTGTACGGTCAGCTGACGCCAGCTACGGTGTACGGTCAGCTCCCTCCCCCTCTAGTCGACCCCAAGCGGAACCTGACCCGGCCCGCGGCCGTGTCGACAGGTCGGGATCGACTACGAGTTCCACCTGCGGGCGGTGGCGCGCGACCGCGGCACGCCCTCCCGCTCGGCCCAGGCGCCGGTCATCGTCACCGTCAAGGACTCGGACACGCGGCCGCCCGCCTTCACCGTGCTGCCCAACCAGACGTACTACCTGCCGGAGAACTACCGCGACACGGAGACCGTGATCGCGCGGCTCCGCGCCGTGTGAGTGGCCTTTATTGACGTCGTCCTTTGAATCTCCGGTGCTATAACGGTCATAAAAGCGCTCGTGATCTCATATACCTTTACAGGTACATGTTACCGAGCGTATTAAAAGACTCTTGTCATAATGACAGATAAGTTACCAGACCTGGCGATGCGCAGCCAAAACCGCTCGGTTGGCTATAAGGTTCCTTTTCCAGCGCGCACATGCATCTTTTAGCTCCTGTGACTCGAAGCAATTGTTGCGTTTTTAACGATGCCGATGTAGCAGTGGGTAGGCTCGAACCCGGCGCCTGGACTTCGACCAGTCGGCCCCGGGCAGCTTGTGCAGTCTATTAACAGTGCCTTCGGTGCGCATTTGTTTATTAAATGGCCTCACCGCGCGGGTGCGTCGATCTCTTTTGAAGCACCTTGTAAGTGCTAGCACCTAGTGGAAGCACCTTGTAAGTCTTTTATGCCTTACCTGTAAGGTGTCATAAGTGTGGACAGGCAAGTACATTTGGGTCGATGGTGATCCCCTCCAAACTCCATTCTCAGCACATCGCGGCTCGCGCCGTCCCTGTTGCAGGTCCAGCTCTCCGACGAGCCCGAATGTTTACTACGACATCGTGCACGGCTCCCAGGAGCAAACCAACAAGTTCAGAACTTTCGTGATCGACGAGGACGGAAGCGGCGGCGCCATAATCAAATACGGAGGCAGCAGGCAGCTCGACTACGAACAAATCAAGGAGTACAACATTACCGTCCGCGCGATGGTAAGAGCAGGCCATACCGCGCGCGCAGCGTCGATTGCTGATGCGGAGCGCCGCCAACTTACGGACCGAGGGATGTTGTGGTCCAAATTATAAACTGCGGTTGCGTATGATGACCGATGAGATATTTAATTTCACCCTAAAGTTTGCACCGCCTGGCTGGGCGTAGGCTTAAATTATTGCTTATCAAACTTCGCATGTAGCGTATGGAGCTAATGTGACTTCAGTGTCCGAAGTTGCAAACTAAGTACTGCATTAGTGTTTCCTTCCTGAGTTACATTGCAAAGAGATATACGACCAATTTCTGATCCTTTCGGAAATCCCTAATGTAGGTATGTGTGCCACACGGCAGTCTTTTATGCAGTTCATGTCACAAATGTCGCAATATGTTATAAAGGGCATGTACTAAATGCGCTCAAGCTAGGTGAATATACTGGGCAACTAGGGGTGTAATTGCACCTCACGGCTGTGCGTCACGGCTGGACCTGGGCCTATTGCTGACAAGCTTCTGGCGGAAATTCATGAAACCTCTTGCCACCTTGTAGCTCATCAACCAAAAAGTCCCTGTGGCTTACTGACCGCACACACGTTACGAAAGCTCACATTTGGCGCTTGATAATGCACTCAATCACAGCGAGGTGTTCATTCGATCACTCCTGCGCCATATTTCTTACGCCGTCCTAATAAAGTTGTTTACCAAACGGAAGCCGACAGCGTGCGTCGAAATATGATATGGGCCGCTGGCGTAGTGGGCTTACCATCCGTCTTACCTTCAGCGAAACGCAGCATCGGTCGGGACGAAGCTGTAGGAGATCGTGAATGCTCCCGGCGCGGATGTCGGTGGTCGGACTAGGAAGGGATATGCGAAGAGCACACGCATTTCTGACGCGTGACAAATAGTGAAACGGAACTGGTTAGAAGAGAAACTCGCACAAACAAGCGGAGAAACTCAGTAGTTGAAGAGAGCGGGACGGGGCCTGCGCTGCGGGGATTTCTGCGAGTTATAAGGCAGAGTTGAAGTGGACGAGAAAGAGCAAGCAGCCATCTACTTTTAAGAAATTGCACGGCGACACCGAATTGATCAGAGCTTTAATCGGCCCTTCCGCGCAGAAGTTGGACGTCCCAGCTTTATATTAGGTCCACAGATGTTTCCATTCCTCCATTATTCAATAGGAGCACGTTAGGGCATGACACCATGTGATGGCCAATTACGACAGTGACGTTTTCCATTATTCCTGAGTTCTTGTGAACTTTTGGTGCGGCGCGGTGCTTGAGCACAATTCATCGTCGGGCACGGCGTTTGGGCCCTGCTCGTAGTGCGGTGCGGTGCGTTGCTATGCTATGCGGCGATACTGATACGTTGCGTGATTAGTACCGGGTCCTGGTTTTCTGTTCGGATTTAACTGCATGCTTCGAAACACACCGCTTCATGCTTGTGACGTCACCCCAAAGAAAATGAGAAAAGCCTGGCTGATGTCTCGTGTTGTGAAGGCGTCAGCTTGTTTGCGCCTGTTATACGCCGCCAGCTCCGTTACTACAACGGCAGCAGCCAGATACACTGTCCAGCCGGCTGCTGCAGTGACATGGGCGACCTCGTGTGACCTTCAGACGGACCAGCAGACGGGGACCGAGGTCACCTTCAGGATAGCGCTGGAGGACAAAAACGACGAGGTGCCCATCTTCTACGACACGGACCGGGTCACCGTGACCGAAAACTCTCCGCCCGGGACGTACGTGGCTGTGACAACAGCCATTGATCGGGATGGCACACCACCAAACAACCAGGTGGGTCTGAGAGCCTCTGACGAGGTTGTGTAGAGAGTGGGCGCGTGCAGTGTTGTTCCTTGAAGTGCAACGTTGTCTTTTATTTGATTGCGAGCGTTTCTGTGTTGTTGCCTTCATGTCTGGGACAGGGTTTCTGTTAATTTCTGTTTCGACACAAGCAATGTTGTCGGGAAGGTGTTTGTGTCCTTCCAAAGTGCAAACCAAGCTGTTTGTAACCTACGATGCACGGTCTTTTTATTCGTCGTCAGTCGTATGCGTACAAACTAATCAGATGATACACAAACCATTTGCGCCATTTCTGTCGGACATAATAAACAGACAAATAAAGAAAGTCTTGCCTCCCTGCCGAGTGTCATTAACCACTGGTGCAGTGACGACACAAGTCTCCGAGCTGTCCGGTCAAATGCTGATTATTGCCATTTGTAACATCATGTCCGCCGAGTATCTATTATCGTATATGTATACTATATATATATATATATATATATATATATATATATATATATATACACGATGCTAAACTCGTCTAGGTTTTCTTAATCATGCCTTGCTTGTGTATTTATTTTTACTTATTACCATAGCGGGTGACAAGTATTGGCTGGGGTATCTAAGCACTCGGTAAATCAGAAATTTGTGCATAATTCCTGTGGCTTCTCAACTTTGGAAGACTATACGTGCTTGACGCGATGGGTCAAATATATATCCACTGCACGCTTGAGAACTGCCATCGACTTGCTCTGAATTGTACAGATGGCCTCGCTTACATGCACTTGGGTTCCTCCAGCTACCTCTGGCTGACACAAACTTGGGCTACCTCTGGCTGACACAAGCTTGGGCTACCTCTGGCTGACACAAACTTGGGCTACCTCTGGCTGACACAAACTTGCGCCTTAGATTCGTGTCATCTCCGCGTGTGTTACACTCAACAAACACTGGGGGCTTGTTTACTGCTAGATGGTTAGTAAGTGCGTTGTCTGGCACCAAATGGGCTCGCTAATTGAAAGACCTGCGTGCTTGACGGCTTTATCTGAATTAAGTTGGCATCTTCTCCGCCCCTCGAAAACGCGGAGTGTCTATTTGAACGCTTTGTAACCCAGTTGCTTTCCAAATCATCATAATACTGAGATGAGGTTATCAACAACTTAGTTGTCTGTTTGGAAGTGCCGCCAAATCAATGTAATCAGTCAAGCTTAATAACTACATGTGTTTCTCACGACAGAACGGTCACCTTACCACGCTGTGGGAGCAACAATGCATCGATGGAAACATCGATTGCAGCTCGACAGCATACTAGACTGTCCGGCCGTTTTTTTATCCCAGCTGCTCTAAACACGTACGCGGTACAACTACAGCTTCATACTCCAATTAAAAACAATGCACAGCCGAAAAACTCACTGCGTATCGGCAGACATACCCTCTGGAGCCATGTTTTCAAATTGTGATTGTTTTCGCACATCCATTTGTTTTTCCTTTTTATTGCCTTGAGCCTTCTACATTTCGCTCCAGTCACTCGCCACGAACCCCGAGCTTGCGCCTTTGTATGGCGTCTTCCGCCTGTCCGCGTCACCGCACGTCCACGTCTGTCCGCCAGGTGTCGTACAGCTTCGCGCCGGACTCGGAGGAGTTCCGCATGTTCAGCATCGAGCCGGGCACGGGCAAGATCACGACGCGCGTGACGTTCGACCGGGAGGACAAGCTGCGACCGTCGCCGTTCTACACGATCGTCGTGATCGCGCAGGACGGCGCGCCCTCCGACATCCGCAAGACCACGGAGCCGAATCAAGGTACAGTCAGTCCCCTCCCCCCTCCCCCCCCGCCATGTCGGGGACAGGAGCTCGCCGCCAACCGGCCGGTTATCGCCCTACGCTGTTGATAGTTGTCAAGTGAGCGGATGGTGGTTGTGCCGTTAGCGAAACAAAAAAGTGGCATGGCGTAGACGTTGTTTTCGTCTGGCTTCCGGTCGACAGTTTGCGGAATTGATAATTGCTGAATGGTGGGCTTAACCCTGGCACATATTTTTTCTGTCAGCTGGCATCACTGCAAGCGATGCTAGGCTAACCTACCACTTTATTCATTTAGAAAAGCTGGTGTGGCCTGTGCTATTATTACTCTGTTGGCGTGGTAGGCGTCCGACCATGAATACTTCACCAGGCCAGTGGCCGACGGAATTCAATCCATTTCCCAGCATGTTGCGCGTTCACTTAAACTCACCTTTTAATTTTGAAGGCCATATTTCCCATTCCTCCCTCCCTCACCAACGCCCTGCACCCCTCCGGCAGCCAAACAGCGGGTGACAATCGAGGTCGGGGACGAGAACGACAATGAACCCTACTTCGACACCAACGGCATCTACCGGGCCACGGTGGACGAGAACGCCGACATCGGCGCCAAGGTCATCGATGTCACGGCCAAGGACACTGACGACGGTACGTCCTCCTCTCGCCCCTCCCCTCCCCCTGTCCCGGCCCGATCGGTCAGCAGCTGCCAGCCACCAGCTGCTCGGCCGCTGTGGCGGACACGCGGCCTGGCGGCGCGCCCAAGCGTCGTTTTTGTGCCGACCGACTGCCGTCCGTTGTGCCGATAGCGGCGCGCGGAGAATGACATGTCGGCGGTGCCGGCGGCGCTTCCTGACGGCAAATGGTGCGTTGACATGTCGATTCTGGGAGACCGGGGATGGTGGTGGGGCTTGCTCCACAGTCGGTGCGACATAACCAAAGCTGTGACACTCGCGGCGTCAAACCGAAGGCCCCACCGCCATCAGTGGGAGCCGTCCCAACCCCTCCTTCCTCCGCGGGCGGGCCGCCTCTTCCGGCCGGACCGGGTGCACCCGCGGCGGCGTTGTGTCGCCGCGGTCCCGCTGAGCTCCGGGCTCGGGGAACCGGCCTCAGCACTGCCGATTAGGCGTGTCTGCGCAATTTGGCGTCGTCGCAGTCCTTGTCACGTAATTAGGCAGTGAATTACGGGGCCACACCGCTCAACTTCACGGGTCGTAAAGCGACCCCCGTACCTCACGCCCGCCGGTGGCCGTATTGCGGTGAGGGGCTCCAATGGCGCGGCGGGACAGCGCTCCGCATGAGACGGCGGCGCCCGGACTGGCTGGTGCAGCTTCCCGCGGCAACCCGGACTGGCCGGTGCAGCTCCCCGCGGCAACCCGGACTGGCCGGTGCAGCTCCCCGCGGCAACCCGGTCTGGCCGGCGCAATTCCCGCGGCAGCGCCAACATCACCGCGAAACGTTTTCACACGCCGCCGGACATCTGTGAATTTAAAATGCCCCAGGTGGATCAATCCATTCGCGGATTCCGACGCGGAAAATCACTCGCCTCCGCGGATTTACCGCCGGCGCCGGCGGCATTATGACGTCATCTGCGGGCGGGTCGAAGAGCCCGGCTCGCCCCTGTGCCAGGTTATTACGGCCGGCGTTGAGCGACGACGGCGACCCGTTTCATTCGCCGCCGCTGATGACGTCACGTGAGACTGTTGCCCGCCGCAGACTCTCGGATAAAATACCAGATCACGGCTGGCAACTACGGCGCCGTGTTCGACATTGACCCGGACACGGGCACCGTCAAGGTGAAGAACAAGCTGGACTATGAGAACGGGCGCCAGGTAAGGCTTGTGGCTGCGTGCCAGCCACGTGGCTACTTTAGCCCTCCACTCGTAGAGCTGGGATGTAAACGTCATCACCTTGGGCTGAACAATAAGCCGTGATCTGGCCACACCGGGTGGGGTTGAAAGGCGGGCAGTGTCGAACGTTAGCTTCAGGTCAGCTCGGTCACGACCCTGACGCTGCACTCTGGGCTTGGGTCACTGCTCACTTCGGACCGAAATGGTCGGCTGCACCAAGAGGCCGACATGGCTTCGAGGCGGGGTCCCGCGGTACCCGATCGTGCCCCAGTCGCACCCGATCGTACCCGATTATATCGTACCCGATTGTGCCCTTTCAGCAGGCGATTCTAACTACTTCACGGCAGTATTATATGCCTTGAACGGGACAGTGTCGTGCAACTCTACAACGCTTTGCCTCAGGAACTCCGCCTCCCGTCATTCGTGTCTTTTCAGTGTGAGCTGTGCAATAATTTAGCTAGAGCTTAATTACGATATAGTACGTTCACGGCCGACGGCTCCAAACGCCATGCATGCAGAAAACGCGCTGCGACAAGTGCTGAGTGCGTTACCGTTGCGTTTGTGCCATCCGGTACCCCGCGTCTCACGTTCCACCTGTGCCGCAGTACTCCATTTCGGTGACCGCCTCTGATGGCAAGTTCGAGGCTACGCAGACGGTTGACATCGAGGTGCGCAACGTGAACGACGTGGCGCCCGTTTTCGACAAGGCCGACTACCAGCTGCAGCTGCGCGAGGGCTACTTCTCGCCGGAGCCCATCATCAAGGTGCGCTCGCTCGCCGGCATGCCCTCGGGTGACCGTCCTGGCCGGTCGTGCGTGATGCTTGGGGAAGGATTGTGGGAGTCAGCGGCAACGACGTTCTCGCTTTTTCCGAAATATGTAATAATCCTTCAAAGGCGCAATGGGCCTCGAGAAAACGGTTAGCGGGGCACTGGTGAGGCAGAATGGTCCCGACAGTGTCGTGAAGTGAGGTCGGAAGGGTGACTGTGTGGCGCTGGTAAGACAGGGTGGTCTCGATAGTGTGGGGTTGTAAGGTCGGAAGGGTGGCTGTGTGGCGCTGGTGAGACAGGCTGGCCCCGACGCTGTGGTATAAGGTCGGAAGGGTGACTGTGTGGCGCTGGTGAGACAGGCGGGTCCCGACGGTGTGGCGTCATGAGGTCGCAAGAGTGGCTGTGTGACGCTGGTCGTGACTAGGCGGCAGGACAATTTTTGTTGGCGGTGCAGTTACGATGCCGGCGAAAGAGTCACCTTCGTGTAATCTAAGTGTAGCAAAAGCTGCCAACGAAGGCTTGTTACATGTGATTGCTCAAGAGTTTGTTGCATGTTTCGGAAAATCGACGTAGACATTGGTTTCCAAAATATTGGATAAATATTATAATGTTTCATAAATATTGTGTGAGAAATATTCATTTCAGCGGAAATGAGAAAAGGAGATAGGTATTTCATATAAATGGTTGTTTGAATCGAATGCAATCTGGCATATCCGCACATGGCTGTAAAAAACATATCAAAGCGCCTCAGACTAAACAAGCGCATTAAGCCGTCTCCAGCACGACTGGCATCGGCAGTCTGCCTGGTTTTGTAGCGTCACGTAGTCTCAGTCTCGTACACGCGATTGCCAGTGTTTTGACTGATGATAGTCAGGCTGATATAAACGCCTAAGCAATGCGCGCTGATAGGTTAAGGCTGACGCAATCCAGGCTTGTATTGGACCCATTGTAGCCATAAGTTGGTTTCACCAGTCACACCGCGCGAAGTTTGGTGGGCGTGCGTTATCGAACTCGTTCTATGAGCCTTTAACGGGCCGGCTCGACGCATTATGAGGTCGGGAAACGATGCGATGGCGACACAGCGTCCTGAAATGGTTTTTCTGCAAGTCTGAGTCATTGATTTTACGTCCCATCAAGGAATTCTGAGACTGTGGGAAACGCATGATGCAGCTCATAACAGGCAAAGCAAGTCGGACTACTTGAATCTTTTTCACCTTTTGCCTTTCGAGGAATGGCAAAACCTCCGGCGGGATTTCTGTTTTTGTTCTTTATTTGATGGATTAATGCACTGTGGCGAACCCGAGCCGTGTGTTGCTGCTGGCTTATTAACCCACATCTCATGTTGCATCCACTGGGTTCTTTTAGTTCTGGCAGTTGTCTGGAACCAGGTGCAGCTGGCCGTTAATTACGTGATATATCTTGACATCATGTCGCATCTAAGTCGATGAGCCGCAGGAGCCACGTGTGTCGTGATAGCGATAGCCAAGCCCTAAAAGTGGCACGAGTTCGCGAGTCTACCGCACGGACCGTACATCGAAAAAGCGGCGCTCGGGCGTTCGTCCTGCAGCGCATTCGGGGCGCGTGCGGTGAAGCGGTACGGCCGCTGATGCGGGACGCGTGCGGTGAAGCGGTACGGCTGCTGATGCGGGGTGCGTGCGGTGAAGCGGTACGGCTGCTGACGCGGGGCGCGTGTGGTGAAGCGGTACAGCCGCTGATGCAGGGCGCGTGCGGTGAAGCGGAACAGCCGCTGATGCGGGGCGCGTGCGGCGAAGCGGTACAGCTGCTGATGCGGGGCGCGGCTGATCTGGAGAGGCCCGTAACCGTCACAGAGGCCACGGTGGTCCTCACGGGCACGCCTCGGGGCCGAGCAGATCGCTCGGCGACGACTGGCGCTGGGAACTGGCTGGTGACGCCGGCCCTTCGCTCGATCGGCGATCCAGGAAATGGCAGCCCGTGTTGGCTGGAAATGACTGCGAAAGCGCCGGGTCAGTCGTGCACAAGTCATCGTGTGTTGGCCGCGCGTATTCAGCTGTTTGTGGGTGCTTGTGGACTATGTGTTGTATTGGCCGCAGGTGTCCAGCTGTTTGCGGGCGCTTGTCAAGTGTGCGTTGTGTCGGCCGCACGTGTCCAGCTGCTTGCGGGCGCTTGTCAAGTGTGTGTTGTGTTGGCCGCACAGGCCCAGCTGTTTGTGGGTGCTTGTGGACTGTGTGTTGTGTTGGCCGCACGTGCCCAGCTGTTTACGGGTGCTTGTGGACTGTGTGTGACCACACGCGGTACTGCTCCTCAGGTCACGGCCATTGACCCTGATCCGGTGGGCGCGGTGGCGATCGTGTACAAACTGTCGGGCCCGGGAGTGTACCCGAACAGACCCGAAGACGACGTGTTCAGCATCAACGACAAGGGGGAGGTGGTCGTCCTCAAGGTAATGCTTCCTCCTTGTCCTTGTAGCCGCCCACGCGCGCCTGTCGTTGAAGACTGTATTAACACTTTTGCGTTGGGTGGTATATATATCAGGCCGGCTGGTTCTTCTCTTCCGTCCCTCGCCATGCGCCGTGCCGTCGTATTCATCCGGTGTGATCGATGGAGGGTCTAGGGTGCTAACTCGATAATCTGTTCCGCCGCCGTGACTTCTGGCGATACCATCGCTTCCCAGAAGAGTCATGGCCCAGAAATTGTGCTTTCAGATGCATGCAGACCGATTTAACGCTATGAACACTCGCTTTCCGATGAGGCACGTCAACGGCGCATCCTCACAGTCTGGCATCCATTCTCGTTCGCCGGTCGTTCTTGGTGATTGATTCCGTGTTAAAACTGGGCTGAGCCGGCCGGCTCTGGCCGGGTCGATCCGCACTGTTCCGGTGCCGGCCTCGCGGTGGGTCGACGCCGGCGGCGGCAGCGGCACCCAACCGAGCGAGCCTTGGCGATCGTCGCCGGTCGGTCCACTCCTGATCCGTCCGGGAGAATGCCCGGTCGGGCACGATTCGCACGCGTCGCGTTAGCGCGGTTCGCGGTTGGGCGCCGCCGGCGCGGTGCCCGGCTGACTGCCGGCGTCGGTGCGACGCGCGTTCGCGGCGGCCACGGCGGCCGAGGCCAGGGAGACGGCCGAGGCTGACGCGCCGGCCGAGGCTGACGCGCTGACCGAGGCTGACGCGCCGGCCGGGGCAGCGCCGGTCAGAGGGTCAGCGGGCTGGGTCACGACGCCGGTAGCCACAAGTCGGTGCCGCGGCTGGACGTACGGTCCATGGTCAGAAGACGTTGTGAAATCTGTCGTTACATTGGTGAAGATGCAGCGACTGGGGTGGGAGAGACACTTCTCAAGGCACCCCTTGTGATATTTATTCCCCATTTATGACAAGATTGGTTGTATCGTGCCCTATTCGCACGTCCACGGGTGGTAATGTTGTCATCCTCTGTGGCAATCTTTGCCCATCGACATTTTTTACGATAATTTGCGGACATTTGGAAGTGCAGTCCGCTGTAAGCGACTACAATAGACGCCTTACAATATATCGGTCCGATTTAGGCGTGCTAGGAGGGCTTCTGTGAGCCGGGTGTCAAAAATGTCCCTATGTTTGCATCTCCCCTGCAGTGTTGTTTCAGATTACGTGTCACAAAAGGTAGTTGACCACCCGAGCACCGTCATATCTGGAGGTCGTACGCCCGTGTTTCCAGCCATTGCAGCGGAACTTTTTATTCTTGGTCCAAATCATCGCTTGCTTTTCATGCGGTCTGCAAAAGTTCCTTGTTTACCTTTTGCAAACCTTATTGAAAACTGTTGATGAACGTCTGAGACTTGCCTGAAGTCAGCCGTATTGTTGACACTGTTCAGCAGTTCTGCTCAATGGCGGAATTGTCCGTTCGGTGCTGTGGCGCTGGCGAGATTCCGCGGGGCGGCCGCGTGTGACTGGCGGGCCCCGCCGCGACGAGGAGCTCGCCCCGGCCCGCCACGGAGCGCGTAGAGCAGCCCCGGACGGCACCGGCACTGGAGATGGACGCCCTCATGAATCATTGATACGGGACCTGTGAGAACGGAGCCCGGCTGCCGCCACCGGCGCCGCTCGGCGATTGGAGCCGGTGGGGACTGCTTATTGGCCGAGAGGGTCGAGACGCAAATGGAAACGGCAAGAACGCGCGCGTGAAGGACGCGCCGTTCCGTTCCGGAGCGGCCGGCCTTGCCCGCAGAGGAGCTGAGTGTCGCGGTGTGCACGTGCGGACCGCCGTCGGCCCTCGCTCGACCGTGGCGTCCCTGCTGGCGCTGGCCAGAGCGCCGGCACCCCTCTGATGCCACGGCCCATGTGCGGCCAGGCGCTGGATCGGGACGAGGGCACGGGCGGCCGCGAGATCTGGGACCTGTCGGTGCTGGCCTGGGACGACGGCGGCAACGGACTCGGCTCATCGGTGCCCTTCAGGCTTACGCTGACCGACATCAATGACAACGCGCCATACCTGATCCAGGTAAAACCGCCGCCGGTCACGCCGCCGCCGCTGTGCTGCGCAAGCGTGGAGGAAGGTTGGTGCGGTCGTTCGGTGGACACGGGGCATGTGTTTCGTGTTGGGTAGATGACTTCAGTGGGACCAGTGGGGTGGGGCCCGTGTGACCAGAGCTTTCTAGAGCCCTGGCTGGGATCAGCCACACCATGCAATTGTGGAACGTTTTGAAGGCTTTTCAGGCAAGTGACTTTGTATGGATGAACGTGTCATGCAACTTAATGAAATACTCCGGGCTGGGCTATATTGAACGCGTAAATTGCTTCCTTCGCCAGCTGTGGACCTCAATTGCATTTTCAATCCGCGAGGCTTTCAAATTACTCATGACGCCGAACAATTTATCCATATCGCAGGTCGATGATCTCTTTGAATGAATCGTTATCAGTTTATTGAATGAAGTATGTGAAGACCGTTCGTCTTCAGCCCTCTAACCCTGGGCGTTATCCTACCAGAGCAACCTCACCCGGCCCGTCATCATGGAGAACAAGCCGTTCGACGGCATCGTGATCCCGGTGGAGGCTGACGACTTCGACGACCATCAGCGCAATGGTCCGCCGTACACGTTCCAGCTGGATCCGCAGGCGCCGGCCGATCTGCGCAACAAGTTCTCCGTCATCACCATTGGTGAGGGTCAGGACAGCGTCAGCCGTCTCACGCGGGTCGTGAGTCGTGGGTCGGTCGGTCCATGGGTCGTGGGTCGGCGACCGTGGGCCGGGCATGGGTCAGACAGCGGCCGGGTGACAGCAGTTGGTGGTCATGTGGTGGTGCTTCCGGACAGGTCCAGCTGGGTCTTGCGCGCGGCGGGACATAGTGCGTAGGTCATGCTCGCAACGTCGATAGGTCATGCGCGGTTCACGCAGTGGCAGCACCCTCCATCGGAATGGGGCGAGAGCGCTCCACCTGCGCTCCACCAGCGGGTTTTCAACGCCGTGCAGGTCAGTCACGAGTCATCCACGTGGCCGGCCATGCATAAGTTATCACCGGACAGGGTCAGCCCGGGCCGAGGCGATGGCTACAGCTGTCTGCGTGAATTCTGCAGACGACTGAAGATACCGCCGTGCAATTCTAGCCCCTCTGCATTATTGACGCCCGCTCTGGCGGGGCAATAATTGCTGCCGGGGACGGGGCCTGGCTCCTGGCCGAACCGTACCCCGCTGCAGGGGCCGCCTGCCGCGCGCCGGGGTCGCGTGGCTGTGGGGTGTCGTGGCTCTGCGAATGCCAGGATGTTGGGCATGCCTTTTGGTGGTCTCGTTTCGTTTGATATCACGATCGTGGTGTGAAGTAGCTGTCGTTACCTGTGCAGAGTACTTTTGCTGCTGCTGCTTTTATGACTATCACAAGTGCAGCATTACCTGCATTAGGTCGTGGTGTTAAACAGTGGCGTAGCCAGGATTTCGCCCCGAGGGGGCGAAATCGAGTCATAGGCGCATGCTTCACTCAAGGCCCCTTCACTCCATTCATATTTATTTGGCTTCCCTCCGTATGATTTCATTCATACATTTATTATGCAATTCATTCGGGCATTATATCATGCATTCATTTCACTTCAGTCCATTTGATTTATTTTGATTCTCCCTCTGTCGCCGCTATAAGTGCCGTGGTTGTATTCGGAGGATTCTTGTAATGGTCGTGACGCCACTTTGATGCCTCGTGACTCCGTTCTTTCAAATACTCCATTTGACTCCGTCACTCGTCTAGGAAGTGCTATCCAGCACTTCACTGAACCAAGCACGTAGCCGTTAGTTGGTTGTTGGATACTATGCCGCTAGAATAGAGCGCGATGGCTGCGCTTCTAGCACCTCCTCGCTACGCCACTCACCGGCCCGAAAAGGACGCACTCACTGTGACCTACTCACATAGTCACGGTTATCCTCGGACCCAACTTCGGTGTTGTGTGGCCATTCCTTTCCGACGAGGTCGGCCTGAGAGCGACTGAACCAGTTGCACAGTGCAGACGGCCGGGTCACCCTTATGCGGATTCCCGGCCACGCTGGGATGATTTATGGTGAGAAAGCGGACGCTGCAGCGAAGGTTGCTTCGTGCGAGAGGAGGCGTCTACCCATTGATGTACCCGCTCGAGGTCTCGAGTGGGTGATTTTAACGTAAATCCATGACGTATGGCAGGTGATATTTCATCAGCACCTTCGCTCCTTGAAGGAGACTTTGCCACAGAACGGCTGCTAGGAGTCCCCATTCCAGCTGTCCTCACATCGTCGACGTGGCGGTTCTAGGCTGCGATGAGGCCATACACACGCAACGCACCCGTTTTACTTCACGAGTCAGCGTGTGGCAGCGTGACAGAAGTGGAGAACGGCTGTCTGTTGAGCATGTCAGCGCGTCTTGCCGACATTATAAACCGGACAGGCCATGCTATTGTTTTTGCCAGCTCGTGGTTTGCTCCGTCGGCCGATGGAGTGAGATCCATGTTGCGAAATCGCAAATATGCTTGCATTTTTAGCACACGTTGGGGCCGCCATTCCATATCGTTGGTACACTGGAGGATTGATTTAATAATAGCAGCCGAACGCACTTATCATCGAACGCTGCAGACTTAGCGGATCGTTTTCGAGTGAGCTCAAAATAGGCTCGATATCTAGGTGCCTTTCAACACCAAACACCACCACCGCCATCTTTTCCCAAACGATGCTGCCGTGATATGAATAACATGGTTGTAAAAAAGTGCCAAGAAAATGGGTTGAATGCAGGGAAATGCCAGGCAGAAACGGTGAAAAAAGCAATGCGCTGCATATGTCCTCTAAGCGTAGGTCTTAGAACTGAAAGCTAGGTTACATTATGGTTTAGATAGTTTGCTAGATGCTGAGTCTCTTCAGTTACAGCCCCGGGCTCACGAGACAAGCGCTTTTGCTGAACAATGTCACGCGGCTTGCATTTGTTTAAGATGGCCACAACCAGACTGCGGCGTCGGAAATATAACATTCGTTACGAAAAAATGTAACGAATGTTATCTTTTCAACCATCGTAACAAAGCTCACATTTTGGCACCGATCAATACTGGTGCATTCATCGGGGTGGAACGTCACGTAACGTGCTGTCTGTCCAGTTCTGGCTAGTTCTCGAGGGTTCTCCTGTCCTCCTGGTCGTCGCCTTGTATTCAGTAAAGCCACATTGTTTCTAATGTCTTGTGAAGTTTATAAAACACGCCTCTTTTTGCATTCATTCAGGTGCTTTTAATTCCGCAAATTGCTAACGCTGCAAATATTTCGCTTTCTTTCTGCCGTAACAAGAGAACTGTTGCACACCATTGGGTCGCCGTGCTGGCACTACATCTTCAATCTGATTTGTACTGCAAAGCTAATTTGATCCCGTCTTCTTTTTTTCTCAGGCGGTCATTTTTATTTAGTTCCCAAACTTTCGTGATATAGACATCGAACAATTTTGCGACCTTGTCAGTCTGAGTGAAACCCTCCGTATTTTCGCAGCAATGGCGGACGTTGCGCTGCCGACGCCTGACTGTGACGTCACGTACTGTTTGGCCCCAGGGCAGGACAACCGAGCCGAGATCCGGCCGCTGGTGAAGTTCGACCGAGAGCAGCAGAAGCTGTACGAGATCCCCGTGATCGTCAGCGACAACGAGGCGGCAGATCCACGGGCTAAGACCGGCACCAGTCGCTTTACCGTCATCATCGGCGATGAAAACGACAACGACATGAAATCCGGCTCCAGCACCATCCAGGTCTTCAACTTCGAGGTCAGTTGGGCCGTCAGCACCTTAACACACGTTAAGGCCTTAACACACGGTGGTGAAACAGCGAGTTAGATAAATGAAAACGTGTATGGCACAGCGCTTAGCCTCAGATGGTGGCAGACAAAGAGGGGGACAAGAAGACGGCGATCAGTCTTCGGCGATGCGGCTGACGTCTTGCGGCGGTGTTGCGACTCCTGCGGGCATGTGCGATGTCGACCTGCGGGCCCAGGTTTCATCGCGTGTCCTTTCCATAAAGACCTCCTCCTTATTAACGGGGCAGGCCATCACGGGTTGATATGCGCGTGACTATCGGTGAAGAGATATTGCTTGCAGGGCAAAAATCCATCACGAATCCCCGTCGCATATGCGGTATCGCTCACCCATCCATAGTTCAGGCAATCGATCGCCCGGCACTATTTCCTTATTTCTTTACTTTATGCTTGCAATATACACGTTACCGTGCGGGTTTGAGCCAAGTGAGACCAGCACCGCGTGGTTGGGGTGCCACTGAGAGACGGACGAGAGGCGGTATTTAAGTTTACATGTCGCGGATGGAATCATTGTTTGGATTGTCGTCCCCGTCTGGTGTGTTAGTATGCAGACAACGTTTCGGCCAGTTACTCTCCGGCCCTCCTCAGCTGTTAGGTACAAGGTCCCGGGAAGGGCTGCGCGATGTTTGGCTTTCATCCAGTCCAGCTTCATCCAGTTAATCGTTTAGACTTTCGCTATAATCGACAATGTAAATTATGAAATGAGTTTTCTAAGCCAATCGCCGGAATTATGTTAATACATTTAAGTGCATGTCTGATACAACAGAAAGGCGAACAGACCTGTCGTGCGCATGTTCTCTGATAAGCACCGTTTCTGCCTGGTATTCAGATTGCGGCTGCCGCGCCGCATATTGCGTATGGTCACCGCGTTATACCAGCGCACCGCCGTGTTCCTCGCTAGCTACATTTTGCCGACGTCGGATATAAGAGAAGACCTGCCTGTGCCGAGCTAACAATTGTGTTGGAGAGGAAGGCGGAGGGGGTGATTAATGGAAGCTGTGAAATCAATCGTTGACGGTGGGGGGGGGGGGGGTGAACAATCAATAAGATGCTGCAACTGCACCCTGTGCTTCACGGCCGCTATTCTAGAGCGGCTGCCGTGTCGGCCGCTCGGGGAAGTTGGCGGTTGAGTGCGGGGTCGTGTGGGCCGATGCACGCCGCGCGGCTCGTCCGCTGGTGCGTTGCTGAGTCTGGCGAGGCTTCCGCACCAAATCACCTGGCTCGACTCGCCGGAAGTCCAGGCAGGCGATGTGAACCGCAGTGGTCTAGGGGGAGGGGAGGAGACCCAATCGTTGCGGCTGCAGAGCCGCCGAGCCGGCTCAATCAGCTGACTGACGGCCGGAAGCCGGCGGGCCGGACCGGGACCGGCCGTGACCTGTTGTCATGACCTCGCGTGCAGGGTCAGCCGGGACTGGACGTGGCCAGAGAGCCGGTGGGCGATCAGTGGCTGACGGCTGAGTTTGTCCGGAGAAATGCCTATAACCCGCGCCTCACAGTGGGTATTCGCACGATCATCGGGTGTCCTGCCGGCCTCGCTGGCTTGGAGCCCTGCCCCAGATACCGCGGACGCTTCTGCGCTGTGTTTATGTTCAGCACCAGCTTACCGGCAACCGACAGATCTGTGTGCTCCTGCAATCTGCTCGTGGACTTCTCTGCAAGTTCATAATTGGGAATGGTTTCAGATTCATTATGCATGCCCCGCGCTCACGCTGAGACTGTTTCCATTTCGCTGAGGTCCATAATATCGGACCAAGCGAGCTTTTATTTTGCTTCAAGATTCTCGCACGTGAAATTCGATGATTGCACTTTGCCCGGCCGTTTCCTTTTGTCCGTGTTCACGAGTTTGTACAGGCTGTGTGAGGACACTTGAAGTGACATAGCCAGACAGCACACGTTTGCTAGTGTACATGAATTTACCAGTTACTCTTACTACTAGTACTAGTCTTCCTGCTTTACCGGAGGACCGGTAAAGCAATTTTCTACGTGAATGCAAATAATGCACTGCGAGTTGTCCGAGCATTCTGAGTCTGAATCCGAACCTATATTAATCTTGCAAGAGACCTCGCACAGATGAGAGAGGTCAGATGCGGATCAGATGAGGTGCGGCTGCTGTAGGGGGGGGGGGGGGGGGCAGCACTAATATCTCACTGGGCCCGTGCAACCCTTGATGTCTTCTATTGCCGACGTGCGGGCGTGCGTACGCGCGTGTCCGATCCCATTCTGTGAGGTATGCCGCACGCCCTCTGACACCAGCTGACCCTCAGGGCAAAATGCCGGACACGGTGGTGGGTCGCGTCTACGTGGAGGACCCGGACGACTGGGACCTGCCCGACAAGACGTTCTCCTGGCTCAGCGGCCAGGACTACCGTCACTTCCAGCTGCACAGCGGCACGGGCAACATCACCATGCGATACGGCACCCCCAACGGCACATACCCGCTCAAGTTTCAGGTAAGCGTCACCTCGTGAAATTCCATATAGAGCTGCTTGGGTGTGGGGGGGGGGGGGAGGGGAGACGAGTTATAGCCGCGATGCCGCTGCGGATAATGTAAATGAGCAACTTACTAAATGAAACCAAGCTCCGGTGTTGAGCACGCAGAAAATGTCCTCTCGAAACGCTTTCGTGTTTCTCACATTCAGGACTGAAGGCGAGATAAGTGTGGCCAGTCATACAAACCTTAACAATACTCAGAGGCTAAGAATGGCTTGGCCCGACTGGTGGACCATGCCATTTGGCTTTGTCTCGTGCCACACAAATTCTTAATCAGCTAGGGCCGAAACATAGAGCCTCACTCCACCGTGCTCGTGAGCAGGCATGCCTGCAAATTGTAATAGTACGATCAGAGACAGCTATGCGAAACGAAAGCATCGCGGGAACCCTCTTCATGGCACGAGCCTCGGTTGGTGCTTCCCACTCGCTGCACGCCTCTGCCGCGGTGCCGCGGCCGCCGCTGACCGGCCGCGCTCACGGCAGGTGTATGACAAGAAGTTCCAGTCGACGGTGACGGCGGACGTGACGGTGGTGGTGCGCCTGCTGCCCCGCGAGGCCGTCACGCAGTCGGGCTCGGTCCGCATCAAGGCCGTGACAGCCGAGCAGTTCGTCTCGCCGCCCGACAAAAATGTGAGGCTCGCTGGCAGACGGTCGGCGGCGCTGTGGTCCAGACGGGAGCTGCTGACCACAGCTGGCGAAGAGGCGCGACATGCTTTGGCTTCTTGTATGCAGATGCGCTCAATGTCGGCGATGTATGCGACGACCTCGCGCTCGGCGAAGTCTGTAGTGCCTGGTCTGTGGGTCTCATAGCGAGCCCTCCTTCCTGTGGATTGGCCTGGGACTGCTTTCTAGAACCTTTTTAGCATAATGGATTTTAGCATAATACCCGTGATAAAGGACGCCGTGTCTTTGTTGCCAGCGGGATTAGGTGCTTCCAAAACGGCGCGCTTGAGATCTGTGTGTTTTGACGCTCTTCCTGCAGCATTATTCAGCTCGTTGTTAAGCTCTTTCTTGAAAAGTATGACTCTAGGCGAAATTCGAGCTCCGCAGCTGTCGCATAATGTGCTCACAAGAGAGCGCGCTAGGCTTGCGGGTCCTCGTCTCTTCCGTCCCCACCATTCCTTTCCCTCCCCTCGCGCGTCCCGTGCTAATGGCATTCAACCCGTGCCTTTCGTGCTTGTTTTCGTGCCTAATTCCTCCAGGCTCGCCCCAATCCGGGTACAAGATGCGAGCGCAGCCGCTCAGCAGCGCCCTGCTCTGCCCGCAGACGCCGTCCATGTACCAGCGGATGATCTCCGAGCTGGCGCGCCTGTTCAGCACGGCGCCGGAAAACGTCGACCTGTTCGGCGTGCAGAACAACGGCGCCGGCGGCGTGGATGTGCGCTACGCCGCGCACGGCTCGCCCTACTACCGCAAGGAGAAGATGGACGGCGTCCTCGGCCGCAACAAGAAACAGGCGAGTGACTCGGGCCTGGGTTGGACTGGTCGGCACGCCCATGTGTGGATGTGCGGTGTCAATGTCGTATGCGTGTTTTTTTCTCGCAGCGTAGCGTCGTTTGGCGAATGCCACGAGTCTCTTCGCTGAGGAAGTGGGTTGTGCTTGCTATGCGTGACCTTTGGTGGTCTGCGTGCTCTTTTCATCATGCAGCAAGGGAGACATGTGTGATGTTCCGTTGTGTCGCTGACTCAGCGGTGCCAACGCTGACGTGCTGGTGTTCGGCCACAGCTGGAGGAAATGTTCAAGATTGAGATTGAGCAGGTGGGCATAGACGACTGCATCTTTGAAACCACGTGCCGTGGCAGCTGCCACTCCCACCTGCAGATCCAGGGCAACGAAGTTCACCGGGTGCAGACAAACACCTCCAGCATTATCGGTAAGCTGTTGGAAATTGCTGCACTGATTAGTTAACGTGCTAGTTTGTTACGCGTTAGTGATTTTCGAAGCTTCTCATATTGCCAAAGGGGAATGCATTTGATTGTGTAAGTAGGCCAACGCTCCGAGATTAGTCTCCAACTATTGATGCATACAGACGCGGAAGCTCCGCTAAGTACGGGAATATTACCTTGCCCCCGGGGCGTTTTCGTTGCCATGGTAATGCAGCCTGGATCTTAATCTCAGGTGGGCTCATTGATGGGACGGAAGTAAATGAAGATGTTTACGTTGTAATGAAAGGGTTTCCTGCATTCACCTCGCCCAATTAGTGTGTCAGACGCTCTGTCAACGGAACGCCGCATTTGCGGGATCAAACGCAGTGCACCGTTCGGGTCGGGTTTCTGGAAACCCGCTGGTAAGCTTAGCTGGAGCGCTGCGTGAGCTGGATGGCCAGCGTTCAGGGTGACTGGCAACAGACGATCGGTTCAGCTCGACATGGACAGTGCTCTAAGGGTAATCTGCCCAGCGGTGGAGCAGACGCTTGCCATGTCAAGGAGTTGCCGACCGGCGTGTCACTGGCGCTTCTCGCGTTATAATGGCCGTAGGCTGTCCCGAGTCTAGAAAACGTCGTGTGGTTTGTGACTTGTTGGAATGTTTCTCCGGTCCGCTTTATCTGCCGTGACAGCGCTTGCCAGTTTATTACGCCTTGGTTTTGGGAGGCGCTCGCTGACCTTGCAGCTTCTGGGACATAACAGGATGTCTTAAACTCGTATATAGTGCCCGTCCTGATGCCGTGGCAGCTGCGGCCTGAAAAGCACGGTTTGTGTGATGTGTGCTGGGGCGACCACTTCACGAGTCTCCGTTTTTTTTTCTCGTTTGCCAGCTGTACGGACTGAGATGCAGTACACGTGCGGGGAATGTGAGCAGAAAATGCCCAAGGAAATATGCCTGAACGATGGGCGATGGGACGACACACGGTCGAGGTATGTGCTGGGTTAGAAATATTACAGCTATGCCTTCGATGGATTGCGCTATTGCGCCGCGCGGCCGGACGACTGGGTGCCACGTCGTCCGTGATAAGCTATTGCTGCCCGTCTGGTCAGGATCTACTATGTGTGACATTCAGTCTCCGCGCAGGTGGCGCAAATGTGAGCGATGATAGTAATGTATGATACATTGAATAACGCAGAGGGGCATCAGAACGGGTCATGGCTCGGGACTTTACATGACGGTCATTTACAAACGAAGGGCGTCAGTTGTACTCCTGCCGCATCAAACGGTGAGTGAGTTCCTCGTAACGTGCGACATAGTTCACAGCAGGGTAATTCGGACCGTGTGTCACGATCTCGTTTATTATTCGTCAACAAACTGCACGCCTTTTCCGTTGCCCCGACACCGGCCGCTCGTGCTGCAGGTGTGAGTGTCTTGTGGGTTATCCGGGACCCAACTGCGAGGGCCTGACCATCCACTTCGAGGGCACCGGGTACGCGTGGTTCCCGCGCCTCACCGCCTGCAACGCCTCCCACCTGGGCTTCGACGTGACGACCAGCGCCGACGAGGGCCTGCTGCTGTACAACGGACCGCTAGCTGAGCCCACCGGCGGCGTGCAGGGTGGGTGGATGTGCTGGCGCGGCGTGTGCGCCGCATCGGCGCGCGCTGTGTGTGTGTGGGAGGGGAGGGAAGGGGAGGGGACGCAGATCGCGAGTCTTGCTGCCGTGGGACAGTGTCTCGTGACGACATTCGGTGATGAGTCGACATCAGGTACTCACTTGGGTGACCTTTATCGCCGTGGGCCTGACATTATTTGTGAAACGGAGCTGGATCCATTTCGTTGCGTTCATCATGACAAAAAGCTGCGCTCCATGTCGATTCATGTCATCGCTAGCGCTCGTGTTAGTGCAGGTCCGCCGTCCACCGTCGTCGAGCATGGCTTTGACGCCGTCGTCGCTCTCTTCGGCAGACTATTTCGCCATTGACCTACTTGATGGTCGCCTGCGCGTGTTTCTGAACTACGGTTCTGGCACGGTGGTGGCCAGTCCTGAGGCGAAGATCAACGACGGGCGTGTTCACCACGTGGACGTCACGTGGGATCCGCAGGTGGGTCGGGGGTCTCCTCCGGTCGCGGTCTGCGCTGCCGGGGTCTTCTGGCCATCTAGTGCTTATGAGGATTATCACGGTTTGACTCACTTGCGCATGTATTGCTTCCGGGAACGCATCACAATTGAACACCGGACAAATGAAGGAAGCACCTAGATGGGATTTCACATGACTGGTCCGATGTCTCCTGGCTGACTGCTAGGAAAAGCCTCCCCATCTGTTGTCTGTGGTAAGGTATCATCTGTAGGACTTGGCGAGCAAATATTCCTCGTAAACCGCTTGATCTAACCCACGGGCGCACGCAGTGTGCCTCACCACCGATAATGCGGGAAGCTCCCATACTCGGTTGAGCGTTCCGCGGTGGGTTCACCGTGCACCCGATGGTTTTTACAAAGGCCCACACTCCACGAACTAGCGCATTTTTGGCGTTGATTGATGATGATTACCGCTTCAAGCTTTTGCACTGATGTTTGCCGACATCAATGGCGTTTATTCGTCGTTTCACGGGACGTAGGTCGATAGTCTGTTCGTGGGCTATGTCCCCCCCCCCCCCACACCATCCAGTAGATCGAGGTTCCTGCCACTCATCGGCGCGTGCAAAACGTGACAAATGTTCTCACTATACCCTATTCACTGCATAGTGAACGACCCTTCTCCCGACGGGCTTCCATGACGAACGGCCGTGGTGGGCTGGTTGCAATTGGTTCGCGACGCTGTCTGTCCTCCGTCAACCCGGTGGATCCACATGAGGACATTGCTACCCGCCAGCTGGCTTGCATGCCTGTTCGCGAATCAGAAGTAGTTGTGAAAAACTGTGATATTACGACTGTTTAGACGCTGACGGCCTTAGCGGCTGGCTCTGGCCACCCGAGCCTGAGCCTGAGCCTGAGCCTGAGCCTGGGCCTGAGCCTGAGCCTGAGCCTGAGCCTGAGCCTGAGCCTGAGCCTGAGCCTGAGCCTGAGTCTGAGCCTGAGTCTGAGCCTGAGCCTGAGCCTGGGCCTAATCTGAGAGTAAGTCTGTCCAGCCTGCCACGGTTGTCGGGCATTGCAGACCGTCGGCGTCCAGTCAGCGGACCGTGTGGAGGCACCCGTCCACTGACCGCTGCCGCCGCCCCGTCCACAGACTGTCACGGTGCTGGTGGACAGTTGCGTCGGCGTGCCCTCGTGCCAGGCGGCGGTGGCGGTGGCGCCGGGCGGCGCGCGCTTTCTGAACGTGGCGGCGCCGCTGCAGCTGGGTGGCTCGGCAGTACCACTGGACCGGGTGCGCGCACTCATGGCCTGGGAGGTCGTGCCCGGCTGGGGAGGCTTCACCGGCTGCCTGCAGAACATGACCTTCCTCAACCGGGTGAGCTGGTGACGACGGTCTGAGGAGAACGCGATGCGAGGTGGATGGGGAGGGCACGGTGTACTGGCCGTGCGGCTGACACTGGTCCTATCGTAACGATTATGTTTGGTTTATGATAAACCATTGGGCTAATGGTAAATTTACGCTGGCTTCGCTGAAAACGTGATACACGCTAGATTTGACGGCGGGGTGGTATAAGGCCTGGATATGAGAACGGACCATCGAACCGCCTGAGACTGTGACACTTGTTAACGTGTCGAGCTGCTGCCTAACCGCAGCGGCAGCTCTGGACGATGTGTAGTGTTGACGCCGGGAATGGTTGTACCGACAAGAAATGCCTTCAGGGTCTGTGGCCTTTTTTGTAAATTCACAAAACGAGGTTTGATTTGGCCATTTGTTATCTCTGGGAGCAGTTTGTTTGAGGCGCGCCACTTATTTTGTGTAACCTTTACGTTGCAGGTGTTTGATTTAAGCCACCCGTCTCACGGAAAGGATTACAGCAACTACTGTTCGGAAATTGTGAAAGCTAAGCCTGTGATCGAGACGACACCAAGCTTCCTGATCGCCTTTCTGTGCTGCCTGGTCTGCTTATTACGTAAGGAACTACGCTAGTAGTTAATCGCCTCGCGTACGACGTTTTCCACCGTGATGGAACGACTGTGGATCAAGTTCAGATCGTCGTTTTTTACGTTGTATTTCAATCCAAAACACCAGCTGATCTCGCCTTCCGTAACCCCTTTGTTCGGAATGAGTGAAGTCGTCGCACCCCTGAAGTGTTCCGCGCTCGATAAGTCGAACGGTGCGCTACGGGTGGGGTTGCCCTCTAAACTACCAATGGCCGGCGTCCTGCTGGTGGCGGGGACGGGCCCGCTCTGACCTGCCAATGGCCGGCGCCCTGCTCGCGGCGGGGTCAGGCCCGCTCTGACCTGCTAATGGCCGGCGCCCTGCTGGCGGTGGGGACGGGCCCGCTCTGACCTGTCAATTGCCACCGCCCTGCTCGCGGCGGGGACGGATCCTCCGCAGCTGCCGGTCGAAGCCTGTCCCCTAACGCTCCACGTGGCCGCCAGTGCTGGTGTTGGCCGTCGTCGTGTTCCGGCGCAGGAACGTGCGCACGCTCTACAAGGAGCCGACGGACGAGATGCGGGACACCATCATCAACTACGACGACGAGGGCGGCGGCGAGAAGGACCAGACGGCGTACGATCTGAGCGTGCTGCAGGTCGCCAACGGGCCTATCAGTGAGTGCAGCAGCGCCCCCTCCCACCGCCGGCTAATCTGATGACCGTGGGCTGCCCTCCCACCGCCGGCTGGTCTGATGGCCGTGGGCTGGCCTCTTACCGCCGGCTGGTCTGATGGCCGTGGGCTGCCCTCCTACCGCCGGCTGGTCTGATGGCCGTGGGCTGGCCTCCCGCCGCCGGCTGGTCTGATGACTGTGGGCTGGCCTCCCACCGCCGGCTGGTCTGATGGCCGTGGGCTGGCCTCCCACCGCCGGCTGGTCTAATGGCCGTGGGCTGACGCAACATGACGGTGCAGCCGTCATGTTGATGTACGGCTCAGCGCTGCTTCACGGTCGCGATGGGCGATATGTCCCGTACTGTGTGCAGCTGTCCTTTCAGCGGACCAATTTTACGAGGGGTAGCGATCCTGCGCTGGCTTACACTGTGCGTGACTCATGCACATGACTTGTGTAACATCGTGTCACTCAAGGTTGTACCCGGTGCCGGACTGCCGCGTCTGTAAAGCCACGCTCTCGAGTGGGCTGACCTGGCTCCGCCTCACCTGCTTCAGAGGAGAACGGCGCTGTGGCGGGCCGGGCGCCGCGGCAGCCGGCCTCCGTGCGCGACTTCATCGACGACAACCGGCAGAAGATGGACCAGGACGGGCACGTCTGGCCGCCGGATGACGTTAGGAACTACGCCTACGAGGGCGGCGGCAGCTCGGCCGGCTCGCTCTCCTCAATCAACTCAGGTGTGACGGCCGCGGCCTGCTGCTGACGGCGTGGCGAACGCCACCCGTCATTCGCTGTTTTATTACTAGATTCTGTTTTAAGATTATGGCCTTTTACTGGAGTGTGAGCTTCCGCATTATGCGCAAGCGATTATGCAATGTGTGTGATGATGCTGGCTATGCTCGAGATGCATGATTCTGATGTTTAGTCGATGACGCTGTGTTGGTCGGTGGTGAGGCGGCATTAGCTGGTCGCCACATATCACTCCTGATACTCCGCAACATGGCCGCGTACAATCAGCACTGTCACTGTTCCCTGCCTCTCACTCATGGCCCGCTTCGTGACGGCGTCACCGCTCCAACAGGCACGGACGACAACGACCAGAGCTTCGACTACCTGACCGACTTCGGACCGCGCTTCCGCAAGCTGGCCGACATGTACGGTGGCGGCGAGGACGAGGACGACGAGCGTCCTCCAGCGGCGCGGCCATCCTCGATCGCCGGCGAGTCATGGTGCTAGCCCTGGCCTCGGCCGGTGGGTGCCGAGGCCCGGGAGCAGTGACGTCAGGACCGGCAGCTAGCCCTGGCCCCGGCCATTGGGTGCCGTCACCCGGGCACTGACGTCGGGACCGGCAGCTAGCCCTGGCCCCAGCCGGTGGGCGCCGACTCCCGGGGCAGTGACGTCAGGACCGATGGCTCCGGGTGGCAGGGCTGGCGTGACCGAGCTGAGGACTTCAGGTGGTGACGCGGACCAGGCCGGCGGTGGTCCGCCGCGCGGGCGTCTCCAAGGGTGCGCCGGAGCGGGCCTGTGCCGGGGCTCGCTGCCCAGATCGTGAGACTCCGCAACGGCGCCGGGCGCGCGGGAAAGCTCACGAAGTAGAATTGCGATATCCTCTGAATATGTCGCGCACGGTGTTCCGGCGCTGCGCGACGATGCGGCATTCCATGGCGCGGCAGCGCTGTGTCGTCCACTCCCGGGGTTCGGCCACCGGCGAGCTCCGAGGTCTGGCCGAGTGGAGTGCGCTATAGTGGTGCGCGATGCGTTTCCACCGCCCCGCCCACCTAGTCACCGCGCGCGCTGACTTGTTTGCGGGCGCCGGAGGCAGGAGACAGAGATAAGTCCGAAAGGAAGTCGGTGAAACCAAAGATCTATTGCGGTGAGGATCTCCCGGGGCTTAGGTCGGCTTATGAGATGGTGTTGCGGACCATGGAATGGACGACAAGGAGAATATGTGTTTTTTTTTGCACTCGTGTATGTGACGTGTGTGTCGGTTTGAGTGGAAGCAGTCGTAAGTTTGATACACCGCCCATGCTTTGTCGTCATGAGTCAATATGCGTTTTGTAATCATTATGTGATAATTTTGTATTAGTAAACAAGAATATTGTTATTCGAACGTAACCCCAACCCGTACTTTGTGACGTGTTTCTGTTGTGTTTTGTGCCGTTCTTGCGGGGCGGGCTGTTCTGCTGATCACTGCCTCGGATACTTAACTAGCCAGACCCGCCTGCCGCGTCAGCTGCTCGCTCACCAGCATCATCATCTTCATCATCATCTTCCCGCCCATGTGGTCACCGTCACAGCCCCGCCTCACCCCTCGTTACACGCTGTACGTACATGGTGCACACATATCCACGGCGTTCGGTGGCACCCGGACTGAGGATGGACGCGTGCAGGAAGGGATTCCGCCGGTGCATAGGTGGCGCTAGCGCCGTCGTATAGGTGACGCTACCGCCGTCTAGTCGGTGGCCAAACTACTGCCACGCTGGTCTGTTTCTGAAGGCTGTGAGCACTGCTAACGCACGATGTGTTTCATGGCTTGGTGTTGTAAGAATACACTAAGACTTATAATAATAAGGCTTGCTCTGAAAAACGATGTGCACTTTTTGCCTGGCCCGTTTTGCCCGTCAATGAGCCCAACCCACATTGGTCGACAGTAAGGAGATTCGTTGTCGCGTGGTCACCAAAAGTGAACTACCGCGCGTAAAAATATGTTCCTGCAGATAGGAAACGCCGCAGGAGCGCAAGCGAAGATGGGGAAGGAGAGTCATAGTATTGCGCTCCGCGGCAGCATGCCGCACTTCTTTCCGGTCCCGCGACTGCCGCAGGTCGATGACCTGGTTCGCACAAGGCCGTCACAACATTCGCGTTGCCACTCGATGCCGATAACCTGGCAGGGACGCAGTCCCGCAGAATAGGTTGATCGACTGAGCATGATGGATTAACGAAGCCTGCCCCAAAATGTGTCACAAAATGTTTTTTCCACGAATTTCGCCAACTTTCTTTGCAAAGTTGGGAAAGCTGATGTCTAAGTTGATTGGGTGGATGAGGGTTGGGTGGGGATGGGGGACTGAAGCCTGCCAACTGAACAGGAAACTGCACATCTGCAACCTTAGGTCGTTATTTTACGGCACGCGTACTACGTACACACGCCAATAGCCGATGAGTTGGAAGACAGCACACAATTGATAAACAACGCTCGACCTGATTCGCCGTTTTTATAACATGAAATAATAGCGAGGGGTTCGGGGGAGCATTCCACCATAAATCGACCGGTGAATTGGCAAAGTAACATTCTCATGTCTCAGATTTTGATGAAAAGGCATCTGTGCAGTTATCTAATGCGTTGAATCCAATATTAAAACTTTCAGCTCGAAAGGAGCAACAACCGCCGGATTTTTGCTGTCAAAAGTTACCAATGTGACCAAAAGTGGCCAAAAGTGACCAGAGTGGTCAATCAAAAATGCCTCCGGCATTTTTGGTTGGTCGCTCTGCATGGGCATCTTTGTTGAGCGATAGCCCATGTCCATGCGATTGGAATAACACAAAATGATATATCATTGATCTCGAAGTGATCTAAGGAATCGCTTGTATCCTTCAGATTTGTCGTTTTCTATTTTGACGTTGTGGCCTAGTGACCTTAAATTGCGTTACCTAGGCTGACGCGAGAGCAGCTAAAACGTACCATTTGTGTGTGCTCGAAGTGTGCATTAGTGAGGAAATATTCATGATGAACGTTTGCCGGATGGGCTGTTTAGAAATAAGGCGTTGATGGAAATGAGTGCACGATGGTATTTGGTGCGCTTAACCCATCTGCGCAACTGTTAGTCCGATTACACAAACGCTCACGGAGCTACATTTGGGCTCGTACATTTTTAAGAGGAATCTCAGTGATGTTTAACTATGTAGCGTGCATTGACATGTTTCAAAAAGGGAGAGAAGCCACATGGACAGCGCAACTGGCATAACATTTGCAAAACATAACGTTTTACCTTGTATGCTTACTTCAGCACCTCCCAGACCGAAAGCATTGAAAAATGCTCTCAATGAAGAATGCACGAAAACATACTGGGCAGTGAGCCAAGCAAAGGACGGCAATGGTAAACAGGCATGTTTGCAACAATGATAGAAAATTATGATAACATGAACAGCGGGCATAAGCTTGTACTAGGTAGGAGTTTGTGTCACCAACCAACGCAATGCTGTTCTCCCAGATACCATATGAAATATACATCTGGTTGACGGTTCAGCAGCGACCATGAACTCGGCCTTGACCCAGCTGCCGCCAAGTGGTACTGAAGATACAAGGCACAAATAGATCACATAAATATGACCGAGAATTGGAAAGTTTGAAGGAAAAAAGGCATGCAAATATTTTTGTTAATTAATTCAGAAATTTCATCAAAACGGTAAACACCTTTCAGGAAAGTTCTACACCTGAAAATATTGACGCAAACGTCAGATATGATGAGAAACTCAACTTATAAGTAATAGTATACTTTTAGGTAGAAACCATAAATGTGCTCCTCAGTACGTCATTGTTCGATTGCGTTATCGTAAACTGTACAGCGTGGATTGAGAGTCAATGAATGGTTCTTCTTTTTAGGAATGGTGCTCACGAACGCCAGATGTGGACGACCAAACAATTATATTTATGGCGGCCTTGATCCCCGTATGGCCAATGGAATGGCAATGTTCGATTAACGCTATTATGGCGCCATGAATGCCCGACGAGCTTGAAAAAGTCTGCAACAAATAGTTGCACTTTTTCGCGGGCATGTAACTCAGAAACTGTAGGGGTCTATGTAGTGTAGGGGCAGCGCCGTGAACTGCATCGAATGATCTTCAAGATGACCATTTCAGTTTAAGAACCTATACAAATATAAAACATTTCCTTTAAGATAGATGACATTATAATGTGACAGTGCGGGCTAATGTAAGAAACAATTCACGGCTTATTCTATGTTTTACTTGCTTGTGATACGTGATCATTATGTGCTGGTTTCACAGCTGGAGCATGGCGAAGCAACGTGAATAACATTGATTGAAGCTTACGCAGCGTGCTGAACGCTGTTTGAAAGCTGAAAATCGCGTTCACGGACGCCAGATCTGAACGGCTGGACGATAATGTTCTTTCTGGCCTCAAGCGCCGTCTGGCCCGTGGGGTGGCCGGATTTGAATGGCGTTGCTATGACGTGCATGCCCGAATGGCTTTGAAATAATCTGCATGAAATAGTCTGCACATCTACGCGGGCTTGTAACACAGAAACGCGAGGCTTTTAGGTCTTAACAAGGACAGGGCTGTGAACTGCATCGAATAACCTCCAAAATGGCTCCTTCAGCTCAAAACACTGCACAAATGTGGAACACTCTCTTTACATTAAAATGCACAGGCCAGCATCACTTCCAGCGAATGACCAGTTTTCTAATCAAACAAGGGTGCTACGTACAGGCTCACAGCGACCTTTCCTGACCACCTTGACATCTTCACCACAGCAATAACAATGATTTGACAACCAATTCATAACATGAGCGAAACATTTTTTGTTAGTTTTTGAGTGCACATTAATTTTTAATGACAAGGCATAAAAAGAGACTTCTGTGCATATCGTAAGAAAGAACAATAACATTTCAGCACCACATACAATGAAAGGTCAAAACATAGTATTTACATCTGTAGCAGTCCTTGGCAAGTTTCGGGATGAAAATCACGACGCTATGACGCTTTCGACAACCTATCGCTTTGTTTTTTTTGTTTTTTTTTGGGGGGGGGGCTGTTGTTAACAATCCATGACTTAAGCTGGCAATACTACGTAACGTATGCCAAACAGTCCACCTAAACTTAGCACCAACTACCATGTCTAGTACCAAAGCACTCGAAGCCACAGACAAATCCGTATGTGTACCGTAAACTTACCCGCCACCGCAGCCGCCACGAAGAGAATGGCTCATGTCACAACAGTTACCGAGTTATTCCGCATTCCAAGATATTCCTTAGGTCTAGTTGCCAATTAATGCTAGGCATCTCAAGCGCCAGAAATCCATTTCGTAATGCAACCAAACAATGACATAGTGTGGAGCATACTTACTGACGAGTGAAGTGTCGTTATGCCAATACGTACAAATGGGCTTCTTCCTCCACATCTGATGCTTGCCACAGCATCTTCAAAGCTGGAATATTCCCTTTAAGTTTTTCAACGACAAGTCTTATCTTTGCACTAAATAACGACCATGGCCATCTTCCCCATCATGTAGCAAAAAAGCGCGATTTATTATTAAAACTTGCAGCTTGTTCAACATCAATTGAGGGCTAATTGGTGTCACCCATGTTTAGAAATCGTGCTTACGGACACCAGGTCTGAACGGCTCAACGAAGATTTTCTTCCTGGCCTCGAACCCCGCATGGCCTGTGGGATCACATAATTTGAATGGCATTGCTATGTGTCATGCTTGCCGAATGACCTTGAAGTAGTCTGCACGAAAAAGTCCGCACATCTTCGCGGGCGTGCAGCTCAGAGACTAGAGTGAGTTATGCATGGGTGTAGGAACAGATGGGAGGGGCAGGGGGCCAAGCCCCACTGTCATGGTGGGGGCCAGCAATGTTAACCGCCCCCCTCTACACTTTTTCAGACTTAAGTTACGCTAAGATTCCCTTTTTTCGTTCTACTTGCAGGCCGATCTACCTGGTTCACCAGCCACATTCCTCAAGTTGCGCCATCTTTTTCCTGTGCCCCTAAGCCATCGCTTGCTATCTGCTGCGGGGCCCACACCGCTCATCCGACCCTTGTATCCTCTATCTTGCCTCATCTTGCATTCTCGCGACACCCCGCTTGTCCGGGGCAGGCTGCATGCGTCAGTCGCGAGTGGGCCGAGAGCCCCGTGGGAAGAGGGACCCCGACCGGGTACCCAGCGCACATGTACGGGCTAAAGCTTGGCGGTTGGCCCCCTAGGCGCATGCGGGCCTACCCCACTATGAACGATTTTCCTTCATCCCATAGCACTGAAATGATCATTTCTGGTCGAAAGGGTTATAATCCAAACAACCAAACCGACGTCGCGCGGCCTGTGGAGACTAGAACGCCGGGCGTCGGGCTGTTGCCAAGATTTGCGAGCGCACATGTTCAAAAACATGTTGCATAATTCTGACTGAATGCTGAACGTTTTAAGGCAAACAGAGGTTAGCCATGTCAATACAAGTTTGCATTCCAGTTCGATGTACGATTTATGTTCATGGGGTCCTCAATATCTCTCAAGAAGACATGCAAATTTGCAAAACTCTTGGTTTTTATAGGTGTAAAAAGAATTCACTGGAGCATCGCAAAATGAAGAGCGCCGATGATTTATTCAATTCAGTCCTTCACCGCCCTTTTTTTTTGCACCTTGTTGACTTAAAAATATGAACAGAATTGATCTCGCGGAAGCCTCTGGCTTCTGTTTCTGTTCTGGTTACAAGGTAAAAATAACAATATAACGAATATAGCCGTGCCCCTTGTTAACAAGTGAGCTATACTCCGCGAATTTGTGTTTGTTGGGGGGACGAGGTCGCCACCGGGGGGCTTCTATCATCCCAGTG